CTCGGGCTAACACCGTTGACAAATGGTATCATAAGCCTTCCTTGGCCTCCGTTTTTCACTAACCTGTCCTAACCATAATGGTCTCTACAGGTTGATCAATAAACTAAACAATGTAATTCGAAGCTTAACTCAGATGGATCCGCAATGAAATCCCATTAAATTGCATGAATCTCTCCATGGCAGAAATCCCCGTTACCTATTTGAACTAATGGAGATTTGAACAGAGGAATTGCCTGTAGTAGAATCACGTTGCCCGCAGGTATAATCTATGATGGAATTTTAGAGATAAAACAAAATGATTTTGACATGAATCGCCAAGCTCTTGTATACATTCATTGGAACTGTGGTGGCAGGTTAATCGGCGCTATTTGTGCAAAGCAATGAAATAAATACTTAGAAGAGAATTACGGGTTCAATAAAAATGTACATGCGAGCAACATTCTTCATGTGACGGCAAAGCATTCTGGTTATATTCTAAATGGAATTACAAACTATCTTTTGCTTTGGAACGGCATTTTCATGATGAAATATTTGGTGATGGAAAACACGAAGACTCTTCGAATATCCCGTTTATTTTTGCAGTTGTGCTGCTTGGGAGTAATTGCCCTTCATGCATAATTGTGAATGGTGTTAATGCCACAGGGAGGATCTTGAATTAAAACAAATATGATGCACCTTACTTTAAATGGATATTTTGACTCCCACATATATTTTACTTCCCGAGCAGTTGACATTTCCTACTCTTATTAACCTGCATTATGTTGCAATCGACATTGCTCTTTTGTGCTGTCTAAAGACAATTTATTTCACAACCGTTTAGCTGCTCATGCATACCTATACATGAAAGAGAGAACACCAGATGGGTGCCTAAGCAACTTGCATTGTCTTGTTAAGGAAGCTTGTGACAGTTGTTTCCTACTGCTTGAAACATTGCAAGCGTGGGGGGGGGGGGGGAAACACAGTTGTTGGCAAACATTGTCACGTGCAATTAGACGTGTAGATCCATTATTTCACTCCTTAAAGCAATCACGCATGCAGTAGCAACATTGATTTACATCTATTGTGGCCCAGGAAGCACTTCTTCATTGGCATTGAGTACCAAAGTGATGATGCCGTTTATGTCCTGAAATGCTTGAGCGATTGTCCTTGAGCCGTGTCTGCTCTTGGCACACGTCTAGACTCCTGTCACACCAGTGGCAGAATTGCCTTGCTGTGTTCAAGGGTGGCTCGACTGCTGAAAGAACTGCCTGTTTAATAATGTTAAGCTCCATTCTTATCCAGATACAAAGTTGCAGGCAAACCTTGGAACTGTCATTGTGTAGGTTAACTTAATATCAATGAAGTTTACTTGGACTATTGATTATGATTTGAAGTTTCATGTGTTGTTTAAAGTTTAGCTTGAATAACTATTGTATTTTTTTGTTTGCTTAAATGTTCACGCAAAGTTGTACCGCGTATAAGCATGGGCTGCACCTGGCATTTTAACAGAATCTGGCAAAAAGTTATTAGAATCACGCTGGCTATAGCCACCTAAAGTGTAAAATATTTTGGAGCCTACATGCCAAGTGAAACATGAGAATTAATGCAGACATATTACATGTGGGGTCAAGCTCAATTTATGTAATTAACAATTTCATATTTGTGGTAAAAAAAAATTGGCTTCATGGAAAATTATACACCAACAATGGTTGCTTAACAGTAAGCCATGGGTAAAAAAAACAATTTAGAGAGGAAGAGAGTTGATAAGTGGATAATGGCTGTGTGATACTATTGACGGCCTGATATATATTAATTAATTGAGCAAATCAGGTAGGAGTTTATTATATTGAAGCAGCATATACACAATGAATGTCCATGCCTTTTTGTGAAAACGACTGCAGTGAAGACGATAGTATGACGTTTTCCTCAATGTATTCAGACTTCATGAGCCAAGTGACAAAGTCTTCTTAATCTGTGCCTTCTTTATTCGTACTCCATTCGGGGGTAAGCTCATTGAGCATCCTGCTGGGGCAAAGGTGAAGTCATGTGCCATTATCTTAGTTTGCTTCCCAAGCTTAAGGATGCCCCTTATCCTGTAATGCAGCATCCTGTAACCCAGAAGCACATCCAATCATGTATGGTGTAAGTTGACAGTGCACATTTAACTTGAGCTCTGCGTCAGGGATGGAATTGCCTCTTAGCCTTTGTGACGAATCCAGGTACTGTGTACATGTGTTGAAGTCGTCGGATAAGCATCATAGTTGACTTTGTTGGCGCCATCGTTTGTCATTGCGCAATTTTAGTTTTTGTTTTTGGTCCCCATGTATGGAGACTTACAAGGTAGTGGGTGATGTCCCCACTTGGCTATTATTACATTCTGATCCTCTGATTCATTGATCCCCTGTACTTTTGTGGTTAAAGGGCTGAAACCCACAGCATGCATCACAGTACTCAGTCTAATGTGTTCCCCTAGCAGGTCTCAGAATGTGTGTATATATGTCTTCTGTTACATTTTTACATAATGCTCGACTTGTCTTAATGCCAATTAAATATAACGTATTTAACCAGGCACGGGGGTAGTTCAAATGTGTTATCCGGTTTTATAATGTTCACAATTCTCGGCTTAATTTTGGAATGTTCATGTGCGTGATTTGGATTGTGCCACAGTGTGATTTGGCACACATGCAATTAACTTGCAAGCGATGTCACATTGTCTTAAAAAGCCCACATTAAAGCAGACAGAGCTTTATTAATTCCCAGCGGAAATCACTGGGCGGCTGTGGAAATCAATCTATCCATTGCCATGAATGCTGACCACTAGAAATCCTAATTCATTGCCATGCAGAATTTATTTGTCAAGCGTTAAATGAATAAAAAATCAGAAGCGGACGAAGGTGCCTCCTAGCGTGGGCTACTGCCTCGGAATTTTTCGCTGATGGAGCATTCGCGTGCATATTGCAACTAAAGGTGGGCTGTTGTTTGCTCTTTGTTGGGAACAATGGCATGAGAATAAGGCACTTGAGCAAGAAGTGCCACCTGCTATTTGAGTCAACTCAGCTGCTTTTGTGCTACCATGAACGGTAAATAACACGTAAAAACAAGCACAACAAAAGCATGAGAGGGTTCCGTTAACTATGTTTTGAGAACTGATTTTTAAAAATAAAGTAACTTTCGTGGTAATAAAAGTAAGTTTCGATTTAAAGCTTTCGTGACTGCAATGATTAATCTTCTTTGGTTCTTTCGGTAAAGTCACGTAGAATGAGAATAAAATAATAAATTGATAAAATAAAATAACACAATATTCTCACGACGTTTCGGCCACAACACAAGCGGCCTTCATCAGGTGAAGGGACGAGACTGTCTGGTAGGACAGCGCTGGAGTGTGTACTCCATGTTGTAAACCATACCATTAACCGTGGTGTGAGAGGTATTAAGAGTCAATGCTGGCGAAAGAGCTGCGGTCTGAAGGTCATCGTAAAATACAATTAATTAAGAACAGAAATGGTTTAAAACATCTTTCCAATTATTTAAAGCTTTCGTGACTGCAGTAATTCATATTCTTAGTTCTTTCGGTAAAGTCACGTTGAAGGGAAACAATAAAATAATACAAAATATATAAGACAATAAAAATTCTCACGACGTTTCGACCATAACACAAACACCTGAAGACGACCGTTTGTGTTATGGTCGAAACGTCGCGAGAATTTTTATTGTTTTATATATATTTTATTATTTTATTGTTTCCCTTCAACGTGACTTTACCGAAAGAACTAAGAATATCTTTCCAATGGTTACTAAGCCAGAATCCATCTTCTCGGTTGAAATTGTCTCTGTGCTTGTATATGTGAATGGCCTCATGAACGAATCTCTCATGGTAGCCGGTTGGTTTGCAAAGAACCTCCGTCTTGGAGAAGTCAATGTCATGTGAGCCCACTGAATTATAACAGTGATCTGCCACGGCAGAGGAGTTCGTTCTACCATGTTTCAAGTCTGCTTTATGTTCGCGGATGCGGTCCGAGATATGTCGTTTGGTTTCTCCAATATAGCTACTACCACAGAGGCACTTTAGTTTGTAAACGCCCGGGTACTGTATGTCTGGAACAGCATCTTTTACAGATGGAACTAGATCACGGATTTTATGTACTGTGTTGAATCGGACCTGGATCTTGTGTTTATTCAGGATTTTGGAGATCTTTTTAGTGACCCCTGCAATGTAGGGTAAGGTGATGGTTTTGAGTGGCTCCACAAGAGGATCCTTCTTCATGACTGGAGTGATGGCTTTGCGGATTGTGTAGTCGGAGTAACCATTAGCCCTGAGAGCCTGGTGTACGTGCTTGAGTTCACTGGTAATGTGTTCCTGGTCGGAAATGCATTGGGCTCTATGGTATAGAGTCTTGGTGAGGGAGTTCTTCTGGGATGGATCGTGGTGGGAATCCGGTTTCAAGTAAGCATCTGTATGGGTAGCTTTCCTGTAGACAGAGTGGATCATTGAACCATCACGTCTCCTTTTAATTAAGACATCCAAAAAGGGTAGTTTGCCATCTTTTTCGACCTCCATGGTAAATCTGATGGCTGGGTGTATGGAATTGATGTGGTCGCGGAATTGGTCTAGAGCAGGCTGGCCATGTGGCCAGATGACAAAGGTGTCATCAGACTCCAGCGCTGTCCTACCAGACAGTCTCGTCCCTTCACCTGATGAAGGCCGCTTGTGTTGTGGCCGAAACGTCGTGAGAATATTATTGTGTTATTTTATTTTATCAATTTATTATTTTATTCTCATTCTACGTGACTTTACCGAAATAACCAAAGAAGAAAAAAAAGTCAGTTACTATAATCATCAGAATAATATGGTTTGCAGGTTAGTAAATTGCATTGGTGATGTGTGGTGACATCAAAAGCTTTGTCCATGATGATATCTTGGTAATTCTTTATTTGATCACTGTCTTGATAGAAAACCATTCAACCAATTTCATCGCGCGTTTTTTTCCTCTCCTTTTTTTGTTACAATTATTATCTTGCAGAAATTACTCATTCTACGTTCTGGATAATCAGAATCTGCAGCAACTTTGGGACTGGACCAAGCATAATCTCACAGTGTTACGCGGCAAGCTCTACTTTGCCTTCAATCATAAGCTGTGCATGTCAGAGATTTACCGCATGGAGGTGGTGACCGGCACTTACGGCAGGCAGAGCCGCACTGACCTCAACCCTAAGGAAAACGGCGATCGCACCTCATGTAAGAAAAACACCTGCATGGATTTTAGGAACGTTTTGACTCGTGAACCTGACAACAAATGTCCATTTAACTTGCGCGATTTTGTGGCTACGCTGAAACTTACTTGCGGTGCTTTATTTCATTTCTCTGAAGGCGAGAGCAAATTCTTGCGGTTTACTGGCAATGAAACTTCGTCAGATAAAATTAAACTGGAATGGTATCACACCTGGCCCAAATATGACCGTGACCTGCTCAGCTACACGGTGTACTACAAGGAAGCGTAAGTAATGAAGTGTGGCAAATAAAAAAAACAACAAACATGCACTACACAATTGATAATGTGGAATATGGTTTGTAAAACTTAGTGTTTAATGTGGATGATATTACTTCTTAGACTCTTGTTTGAACAGGGTCGCTTCAGAGTGAATTTTTTAAAATCCATACATTCACACTCATTTGAATAGATGAAGGCCTCCCTATGCAGTGACACTCTTAGGGATTTGTTTTTTTTACCATACTTGACCATGCTGGTCCATGCAGGGTCAAGACTGGTTCTGATATCACTCGCCACAAGATGTTGGCCGAGGTCGGGAATACAACTCAGGTCACCAGATTTATAGTGCAGCAGAGTAAGCACTGTACCAACTCACCATCTTGTTTACAGAAAAAAAAATTGTTACAGCAAATATTCAACACTTTATATATAAATTGGTGCTGTTATATTTGCAGGCCCTTCAAAAATGTGTCGGAGTTTGATCAGCAGGATGCCTGTGGATCCAATAGTTGGACAGCTCGGGATCTGGAGTTCAGGGCTGGCCTGAATCCACAGGAGATGTCCAATCCCAGCATCATCCTGCTGTCTCTGAAGCCCTGGACTCAGTACGCGATCTTTGTGCGTGCTTTCACGCTCACCACCACTTCTGGGGACATTAACAACCAAGGTGCCAAGAGCGAAGTGGTGTACATACGCACCAAGGCCAACGGTAAGATGAGCAACTAATATAATTGTATGTAGAGGCCCTCCCGCTGAACTGACGACCACTTTCCCCATTGATGTTTTGGATGGGCCGCGTCGATAACAGTTGAAATGCCATGTTGAGATTACTGGCGCACTGAAGTGGCAGGTGGTGGCATTACCGATGGAGTGTCACAGGGAACGGCATAATTTGGTGAATGGGCATGAAAAAATTGTAGCCCTGTCGCTGTTCTGGTCTTTGTTGATCCCTGTGTTTATATGTTCATTGTTTTAGACAATCTTGAGTTATAATAGATATACAACGTTTGGAACTATTTAAAATATAAAGAAGGTGCATTAAGTTGTGTAAGCTTTTGTCCAAGTGCAAAACATTCACTTTAAAGTACAAATTGCAGAAATATTTATTTGGACCTGATTACATAGTTATAGCTATCTGTTGCAAGCCTAAAATAACATACAGGTGATGTTGGGATAATTAAAATTCTGTACTTAATGGACATAAAGTCATAGCAATTTACATAACATAGTTAACATTAATATCTGCATATTACGAAGTAAATCAGAGTTACACTGCCTTCCTTTTTCACTCAAAGTCACCGAGAGTGTGTTCATGCTCGCACAAGTAAAGATTTAAACAAAAGCAATAAAAAAAAACCACCCTTTCCTCTAAAGTATGTTTAAATTTGTTTTAAAGGATTCCATGAGGGGACAGCTGTTTCTGCTTGTGTGTATTTGCTGGCTGCAGCTTCTTCGATTCCCCTGGATGTGATCGCTGGCTCAAACTCGTCCACCCAACTGGTGGTCAAGTGGCGGGCGCCCGCGTACCCCAACGGAAACGTGACTCATTACATCGTCCGCTGGCAGCGACAGCACGAAGATCCTGAGCTGCGCAAGCACGACTATTGCAACAAAGGTTCGGGGCGCATTTTTTTTTCGCTGCACGGGTCTATTGCCCAAAAGGGGTCTTTTACGCACGTCGATACCTATTGCAAGGCGTCAAGAGTCCGCGTTGACCACACTGACTTGTGGCCAAAACAAGCCAAACAAAGGTGCTCGGATAATATACATGCATTGATTTTGAAACTGATTGGCCTACAACAGAGACGGCCTTGTCTCACCAGTGTTAGACGAGAGAACGCCAAAAGGCAAAAAGGTCCCGTGGATATGGCTGCTCAACCCGAGCTATTAATACTTTGATAGTTGCATTGCCTTTGTATCGTTCGCCTTTTGGAACTCTGGTCGAATATACTGGTGAGACAAGGCCATGAATAAGTCTGGTATATGGCCAATCAGTTTCAAAGATAATGCATATATTATCAGTGTGTTTGTTTGCATGTTCACTACAAGTACGTGTGGTTAATGCTGACTTTATGCCTTGCAAAAGGTGTCTTATTTGATGTTTGAACATCTATTTTATTGCCAGAAAGGGTAAAGCCTATTTTTATTTTTTCATAATTTTGATAGTGGAAAAAAAAGGTCCCGTAGATATTTATGCTTGTTTGTTATCATGAAATCTTACCCATAGTGTTATTACAAATTAATGAAATTGACTGGCTATTTTTTTTTACCAACACATTTGTTAGAAATTGCTATAATGCTCCGGTGATTTTTTTTTAGGATTGTTTGTTGTTTGTCCCCCACCTCTTCCAAAATGTTTGGCCAGCATAGGCAAAGTAAAACCTTCATTATGGATGGGCAAGTAAGGATGCCCTTGCACAAGTCTCATAGCCCTATAAATGGCCTCCGTCGGTATTCTGTTTTGTGCTGCTTACTCAATAATTATATGCAGCATTGCTTTTCTACATTTCCAATTAAAAGCCTTCTCATTGTGAACTAATGTTAACCCGAAGTTAAAAATATTTTACTTTTTTTAGGATTTAAGAATGTAAAAGGGGATACCGAGTTCATGGCTTTCATTCACATGCCAAAGTAACTGATGTAAGCAGGTACAATCTGCTGACTAAAAGGGAAGCCAAAAACAGCAAAACCTTTCACGCTGTACAGGATCTCCACTCCTAGCGTCATCGCTAAGCGCTTGGCTTAAGTTACAGGGCACCAACATTCATTCTATTGTGGCCCCCCTCCCTCCTCATTATTGTTGGCTGCCCGACAGTTTTGAAGGTACCTCGACGGGAGCCCGCAACAAGCTCGATCGACATGGAACCGGGCGCACGGGGGAACCAGTCGGAGCTGGACACCAGCCTGGCTCCTGAGAAATGCTGTGCATGCCCCAAGACCCAGGCGCAGCTGCGCCAGGAAGCCGAGGAGGCTCAGTTCATGAAAACCTTTGAGAACTTCCTGCACAACCAGATTTTCGCCACCAGGTGAGTCGTTTACAAGTGCACTCTTCAGATCAGCTGTATCACTGCATTTCTCGAAATCTAGCTGGGTTATTGTGCTAATAAATGGGATTGATAATGTTACCTTGGGTACACTTTTTTTGCCACACGTCTCTCCCATTGCGTGTTAATTGACACATCACTTAGTACCAATGTGGTGATAAATAATAATTATAAAAACTTATAGTGTCATGAAATGAGTATTTTGTACACTAGCTTTCAACTTTTAGTAAAGTTGCCTTTTAACACTTTTTGTTGTGCTTTGTGCTCAATGCACTCCAGAGTACAAATGCCATTCTCTTTGTTATGCAATTTGATAAATTTGTCATCTGTGTTTTTGTATTTTCTTTTTTTGCGCACTTTCTGTACATCACGATGACACCTTGTTTATGAAGAGATTAATATTGGCTTGCAGTGTAGTTAATATATCGCCAATTTTAAACCATGTAAGCAAGAAGGGCTGCCAGTGGACGAGTCACTGTCATAAAAGAAAATCCCCCCAAAGTGTACAGAGAGGGGCTTTTGTTTTTGAGGTGAATGTCTCTTTCCTTCCTGTTTACCGCCTTGCTTTGGCATTTGACTTGCACTGCGAAGTATGGATTGAGGGCAAAAGAAGGGGGGAGTGCATCAAAGCGGCAGACTGTTTGTTTCCCCAGCAACTTTCAATTATAACATTGGGAGAAAGCTTCTCATGCCAAGTGGTTATCTTGGCCTGTGTCCACATTCTGTGTAGCCTCTTTTTTTACAGCATCCATGCAAATTTCAAAAGCTAAAAATTTCTACCGAGATTATTTCAACAAAAGCTGATGATAATCCATTGATAGACTTTGGGATTTTTTCAAGCTCTTTTTGTACTGTTTAATATTCATATGTTTTTGTTTGTTTGCACACCATCATGTACATCCCAGGTAGCACACTTGAAAAATAAACAAGGCAGCCACTTTTAATATATGTGTTTAGGTTGACAGAAACAAATGGGTTGCTTTTCCTTGAATAATTTCGGTACACTTGGGGTGATGGGGAGGGGTCTTTCTGGACGGGCACCAAATAAATGAATTGAGTTAGCTGGTGAGTGAATAAGAAGCTATGTTTGGGCTTTAGCTGTCGCCGGCAGCCAGCAACTGGAGCACTCAGACCCACCGTCGCCACTGCTCGGGTGTCAAAGGGAAAAAAATACAAACGCTGCGCTGTGACGCACAGGTTTCTGGGGCGGAAGAAGGGGGCCTCGTTGCATAGTTTCGGCATTTTAGGGTGCTTAAACGGCACTGCCTTGTCCAGCGTTTGCTTGGTGAATGTTGCCTCTTAAAAATGAGTTGTTGTTTTATGTGCACAATGCATGTAACCGACATTCAGGCTTGTCGGGTACTTCTTCGTTTTTCCTTGATTTGTATTTCAAACGGATGAGCAGTTAGTAAAAGTCATGAGCAATTGAATCTCTTCACTGCACTTTTTTTGGGATGTTTTCAGACGTGCACGTTGAAAATTGGTAATACAGTATCGGTCTTATATAATCTTGTATGTAGCATTTGGTCTATCATATAATTAGAACGTGTACCCGCCACAAATTATCTTGACCAAATTTAATCTTCACTGAAAATAAAGGCCGTGCATGAATCTCAGTACCCACGTTTAATAGGGTTAGGTGTGGGCATGGGCTTGTCACTTAAACTCTCAGAACTGCATAAAGCACAATGGCTGTACTCTTAGTCCCCAGGAAGGATGAAACCAGTAGAGCAAAGTTCCACTGACCATCATCCCACCCTTTTTCTGGTGGTGGCAGTTGATGGGCATTAGTGGGGTGCGTGTAGGAGTAGCCGCCCTGTCATCACATGACTCCATGCAGGTTACTGTTTGTTCACAGCTTCCCCCCTTCACGTGGGCCCCTCATACCACGAAGCGTACCCTCACCCCCCTCACCCACCCTCTACGTCCTGGCATGGACAGGATTTTGTTTGGATTGGGGGACGACGACATGATGGCCCATTAGTGCTATATTAGTCGAGATCAAAAGTTTGCTATAGAGAGGCTCTGAAAAAAACACAAGTTTGTAGTAAACCCTAAATTCACGTTTTAGGTACAAATTCCAAGGAAAACTCAAACGTACTTTTTGTTATAGCCGCATTAGTGCCAACCGAGTGTATTATTAGCCCCGCTAAAATACTGCACTTTGATTCGGTAACGTTATTCCATACGTCTCAACATTTGCTTTCATTTTCTTGAAGTCTTCGCAAACAGTTGGCTTTGAATCTCAATGTGACACGTGCATTGTATATACACGGAGGACATTTTCTTTTTTCGTTTCGTTTCTTATAAAAAAAAGAGGCAGACGACATACATCTGTTCGGTGGGTGGGGGAGACTGGACGTTACTAATGAAATGCTGCGCTGGAAAACAGATAAGCGTGTTTGTAATGTAATACACGTGGTTTAATGCACCATGTTTGGACAAGATCATATTAATAAACTTTACTTCTTTCATTCAAGGGAAGTAGCCGTGCGATTACTTTTAATTGTCAAATTGCATAATATTAGGTTAACGAGCAAATAATGAAATATTAATACTGTGCATCTATGCACTCTATACACATTAATTTTATATATTTAAAAAAAGGGTACAACAAATCATAAACAACCTTTGTGACAAATAAATTTATGTATAGGATCGTTGTCGGTGTTAAACGTCGGGGAAGATACTCCGAGGGCTTGCGTTGCTTGTTATCATATACATGCCAAGTTGTTAGGTACAAACGTACGTGCAAGGATACACACGCGGATAATGAACCCAGACGGCAGTGCGGTGTGAAATCTGAGGAACAACAACTCCATGTGCGTAGTAAATCAGTAGAGACCACCCTGCTGGATATCACAGGTTAGCTCGCCCTTTTTCCTTTTGGAACAGAACATGGTCGAAAAACCTCGATTTTATTTGACACCCTGTCACCTTCCATTAACCTTCTCGTAAATAAATAACTAAAGCTGACTCTTTGTTCACTTTTTGCCAGTCCTGTGGCCGTTGTAATTCTTGGCGTTTTTTTTCGGTTAAATCCGCATCGGAAACCATTGGGTGACGTTTCGTGATAATCGTGGTTATATATTTGTTTGGGCCGTGTATTGGTGGCACTGTGCTAAAAACCCGGTGACCTGAGTTTGATTCCTGGCCACAGCTGACATCAGTGGTGAGTGATATCTGATCCGGTTCTTGCCACCCCTCCTCGCCCGCCAACCTGCAATGCCCAGCGTGGTGAAATATGGTCAAACAACTTTGTTGACCGATATGGCATGGGGAGCCTTTCATCTAGCAGTAGATTTACAAAGGGCTGTATGGATATGTTAAGAAATATGTTAGATACATGAATCTGCATTTGTTGAAGGTACATTTATCAAGCTTATCAAATGTTGTTTTGATGTTTATGTTATTCAATAAAATGCAAGCTATGAGTCTTTTTTTAAACGTTATATAACAGATGTCTCTTTTGTCTCATTTTTAAATCCTGGATAAAGCTCGTTTTTTTGGCACTCCCCTTGCACAGAATCTAAACCATGGCTTATGAACACAGAGCAAAATTTAGTATAAGTGGACCCCTAGCTTATATCCAGTTGGCTGATTTAATAAAGCAGGCCAAAGTTCGCATTGGGGCTTTCGTCAAAACTTGTTTTCCACAGAATTTACACAAACTTGGAACTTCTGTCAGTTCTGTGGCGTTATAATATGTTGGTCTTGTAAACATGTGAGCGGATGTGCACTGTAGTACAAAAACATGTCAGAAAAACAAGTCTCCAATATTGCCGCGAAAAATCTCGAGTAAGATTAATTTCAGGTGCTGGATGTCACGTATTTATTTTTCGGCATGTGACATTGTTTTCACACTCCACCCCCCAAAGTGGTGGGAAGGCAGTTGGCGGTCTTAGTCGTGCAGTGCCATCTAGTGTGGAGATGCTCAACCTAACAAGCCACCACGCGGACTCGGGTCATCCTTGCAGCGGCTTTTATCTAGCCATGGAACAAAGTCGGTCACTGCATTGTGCACTTTCAGATAACGCTTCTGAGGCAGTCTAGAACGCTCTTCCTTCCGATGTTAGGAAGCCACTGGAGGCTTTGTACTTTTAAGTCTAGATTGAAAACTCGTTTCTTTAGAACTGCTTTTAGTGTTTAGCTTGTTGCCCTTCCCCCCCGCACCTTCGATGAGCACGGTTGGCTACGTATGGTGCAGTAGAAGTTCAACACGCATGCAGCGGCTGACGTGGCAGGTTTTCATGCATGAGCACAATATGACACATGGGTTTTTCTGTAGAGAGTGGGGGATGGGGCAGGGTCATCTTGGGCTACAGAACATGAGCCCAAATGCCAAGCCCATGTGTTGTCTAGGGTTTGGTGGGTGGGTTATAGTTCATCTAGTTCTTGGGCTTGGCAGTAGATGTGAGATAAAAAAAAGCAGTTATGATTTAAATAAACTTTTACCGAAAACGTGTATTGTTCTTATTTTTTGCAATGTCGAATCCCCTTCAATTCTGTAGAAATTATTGAATCGTAAATATTTCCTCACTTTATTATAATGTTTATAAAATATAAACACAAGCAATGTTCACATGCTTTTACTCGTGATACGATTACTCAATGTTAGTTTGGCAAGTGTTGCACGAGTTCTACTTGGCTTGTTATCTGAATTTTTAACGTCGAACACATTTTGCTTGGAAACTCGACATCTCCCGCCAAGACATTGTGCATCTCATTTTGAACTTCGAATCAATTTTTCATTATGCACAGGCCTGATCGTAAACGACGGGACATGTTTGGGACGGATAACACCACGGACAGCGGAAACAGCACCTCTTCTTTGATCGGTTCCGAAGAGGTCATTCCCACTCCGGTAGTCTACACCTTTGCCGAAGAGATGGTGTTTGGCAAAGAGCGCATCACCATCACTGGACTGCGCCACTTCACAGCCTACCGCATCCAAATCCAAGCCTGCAACCATGCCTCCGAGCTCGTGGGCTGCAGCGCCCCAGCTTATGTGTCTGCTCGCACCCAACCCCACTGTGAGCAAACTCTTTATGTTCATACCTCTATTCCTGGACATGTCTTGGTCTTTGTTTTCTTGCCACGTATTTGGTAACGCTCAGGGTGCCTTAGTCTCAACTCTTTTCTTCTTGTGCTGAGCGTACGACCAGTCCCATAGCTCGACCACAAGCGGAGAGATCAAGGGTATGTCATGTTAGGCCCATGTGCACTGCAGCCAAGCTTGAGCAACCATGAGAGGAGAACATTGATCTTGTACATCATGTGCCGTGTGGCGTGTCCAAGCTTTGCCAGCTCCAAACCACGATTGGGCTTATTAGTCACCAAAAGTTTTGGCAAAAAACTTGACATTTTTCTAAATATTGTTTTAACTGCCAAAATGTTAATATATTGGACTTATAAACCAAATCGCGCCAAAGTAACATTGTTATTATTCCTTTTTAATTATCCCGCGAATATATTATACTGTAAGTCCAAAATAATCTTTAAAAATACGTTATTTTGTAAACCTTTCCATGAGTGGATATCCAAATGTGTTTTTGGGTTCCCACACTCGCCTAGATTAGTGTGTACGACATTTACAAAGATTTTGTGAAACATTCACGTACACAGTCTGCATTGTTTAGCAGTGTTAGAACCACTAATCTCGAATTAAAACATTCTAAGAGACGCAACAGACTCTTATCTACCAACAACTGTGGTTACAGAGCTCTCCCATACCAAAGAGTGAATCTCAGTCGCTTCGTTCATATTGTTAGGTGCCGATTTACCCCAAAAAACGTACAGCTTCTCCACTTTGAAATATGCAAAATACACTCATGTTCATGCCCCGCTTCTGTTTATGCAGTTGACGCCGACAACATTACTGGTCACGTGAAATGTGAGGTTGTCAAAAACATCATCTACCTTCAGTGGAAGGAGCCCAGTGACCCCAATGGACTTGTGGTGCTCTACGAAGTCAAGTATCAACGTGACTCGGAGGTAGGACATGAAATGCACGAGCATCCTACATTTCCTTGTGGTGAATAAGCGTGCATTATTATATTTGCTGCTTACAATTGTTTGTCAGTCCATGGCCGGATGGAGGGTCACGCGGGTTATTTGAGCATGCTTTATCGCGTTGGTAAGTGTGGGTTGGTGAAGGTGGAGAACGTAGACATTGGAGCATAGAAGTAAAGTACTACAATGGATTTTACTGCACTTTTTTATGCTGTCCATTACCTAGTCTCATACCGAAAGACCCAAAGAATACCGAGACCCAAAGAATAGTCTCATAGCTTATACCAACCTGTTGTGCATGGTGGTCGCCTATCTAAACACTATGCAGACTTAACGCTGCTTATATTCTGAGCTCTGACGAGGTTGGGTACATTCCAAGTGATTTGGCCATAGAGTTGTGCTCAGTATTTACTTATCAAGTGGCTTTTTTCATTAGATTCCCACCAAGCCTGTGTAAGTTAGTACTATTCATTTTTTGGCACGTAAAAATGCACTATATATTGGGTAAGCTTATAATTATGCATCGATTATAATATTACGAAATTTGCATTTGGGCACGTGAGAATGAATTCGTTAATTTTTTTTGCGAATGATACATTTAGTTGGAGGGAGCAGATTCAATTTTAGATGAGGTTGACAAAAAACATAAAAATAATACAGCCAAGATGGAAAAAATAGAAAAAAATGGATTACTGAATGGAGAGTGACTCGGAATCTTGACAGCTCATTGTATATCTGAGGGGGAAGTCACTTGTCAAATATTGAAGGCATTTTGCTTGCACTTATAGTGGATGACAGCTTCGTTGAATGAATCTCACAGAAAAAGCTGCATTGTGACTAAAAAGTTATCTTTAACATCTCCAAGGATTTGGACGTGTAGACAACGTGGGATGTGTGTGTATGCTGGTGTGGTGCTGATCTCCCATCCCTGTCTGCCAGCTTTCATAAGTGCTGCTCGATAACAGCACTTGCCCCAAAAGTCTGTCGGCTGCATGGGGGATTTTTGTGTTTTTACTGCATTATTACATGTGGGGAACAGTTGTGCAGCGGTTAGTGCACTGTGCGACGAACCTGGTGACCCGAGTTGGGTTCCCGCTCTCAGCTAACACCAGTGACGATTATTTGAACCGGTCCTGGGCCCTCCCCTAGATTGACTCAGCCTAATATATGTACCTCGTGCGATGTGTAAACATTGCCAACTGGGGAGACAAAGGCGGCTGGCCATGGTGCTGGTCCACCCTTGTGTGCCGTGGCGGCCTTCATCGCTGTTCGCTAAACAGCACTTGCACCAACAGTCTGTAAAAGCTATGCGGGGGATTTTTGTTTTGTCTTTGTATTGCATTAGAGCCAGATTCAGCAGCACTGCGTCTCAAGGAGCTCCTACCGGGAAGGGAAAGGTTTCCAGGTTCGGCATCTGCTGCCGGGGGATTACACGGCTCACATCCGTGCCATCTCGCTTTCTGGAAATGGCTCCTGGACCGAGCCATTTCACTTCCGCATTCCCGACCCAGGTATGCACTGCGTTTGGCACCGTGACATGCAAGCTCACGTTTGTGCCGACGTGGGTCGCATGCTGCACTTGGATTACGATGCAAGATGTTTTTGTTTCACCCTCTTTACAGCTTAACGGTCCGACTTCCCTTCGTCATGCGAAAGGGGGCAATGAGTAATTACACGCAGAATCCATCCTCCATCTTCACGTAAAAGTACAAAAATGTTTTTGGTTCCAACCATTTGCTTTCCATACCAACGTTTTCAAGCAGCATTTGTTTAATTATTCAGATGCTGGGCCAGTTTTGACCTTTTGGAGCTCGGTCGGCACATGCGGGCTTCTTAAATAAATGCTGCTTCATAATATTGGATGGGAAAGCCAATAGGTTGATGGACTATAACATATATTTATTTATATGTAGAGACACAGAGTAGAGATATGCTTGTATTTGCTTTTACCCATAATTCTCCAAGGCAATGCAAAATAAGTTTGTATGAGGGGCATGGGTTATAGTGTAGGAAATACTTGTTTTTGGCCTGTTGGTTGTATTTGATTGAACTCTTTTGTTCTTTGGACATGGGAAGCTATTAGCATTATTTGCAAAAAACATTTTGTTTGTGTTATTATTCTGTGCAGTAAACAGGGATTACGGTCAGATTAGAGAGTTTTTTTCAAATTAATCAATTACAACTTGTAACCATTTAGAATCTTATCTTGGTTCTTTCACGTAGAAGGGAAACAATAGAATAATAAAAACATAAACAATAAAATTATCACGACGTTTCGACTGCAACACAAGCAATCATCATCAGGTGTGAAAACCACAGCAAGAAAATGTGAAAAAGAGTGGCGGTTTTTTTAACGTTAGCACCACGGAGAAAAGTGAGAGACTCGATCAGCTGAGCCTTCTTATCCCGGAGATTGTTGAAGGATCTCAAAGTTACGTGGAAACCCTCCCCAAAGAACCAAGAATATGAATCTCTGCAGTCACAAAAGCTTTAAATCAAAACATTTAGAATCTTATCAAGAAATATCAGAATCAGAATATTTATTTATACTGGAGGAATCCGATCTATAAAGCTCTTTCACAGATGTCCAGTAAGGGCGGGTAAGAATGTTACAACAACAAACAGTACAAAAACATAATAATTTCCAGTACAATACTTATACAAATATATAATTATTGCATTGCTGCTCATAGTACCACTGTAACAAAATAGCTTGGCTCTTGATTAATAAGGGAGCACACATTAAAATATCCCCTCCCGTCCTTTTTTTTTAGGGATTAGCATCTCGACTTTAGGTGGAGAACATATGCTTTTGATGAACCCATTGCCTTGAGGCTTTTTGGCCATGCGGTGGTTAGATTCTAGTTCCAACTAGAGGGAGGCACGTGCTGAACCGATTGTGTGTGCTGTTGTGGCCACAAAATCACAGCACTGTTTTTGTGTTCGTCCTATTGGCATACAGTATGTAACTGTGTATCTGTATTCAAGTTAAAAAAAAAGCATTTTCCTCAATCTAGCTGCCATTTTTTTACCAAACCGTTTAACAAATATTCCAAAAGATTTGTTTTCACACGTAGGTCTGCTGTTGCGATTTTGTTGGATGCATTCCTTAATACTTCACAAAGCAGTGTGCTCAGTCTATCTCCTCATTAGCATTATCTAGGGTAGCTGTGTTAAGCACTGCTCACAAGGAGACCTTGTACAATTCTCCCGTGGGAATTTGGATGCTGCAGGCAAATTGTTTTGGCAGCGGAACTCGAAAGTTTACTTTTCTTAATCGTATTATGGGATCATTTACGGCCACGGGGAAGCAGATGGGGCCTTTGAATTTACATCTTTATCGTGGGTAGTGCACTAATTGATAATGCACCTATAAGACATGACCAGTGGTCTCAACGCAAAGCCTTGACGGCGAACTCGCTTTCATTTCGACATCTCAGAGCTGGAATGGGATGATATCCTGGTGAAAATGTGCATTATCATCTAACTTCCAAGTAATATTTGGCCGGTCTTTATTCGTGTAAAAAATGCAGTCATTTATTACATTTTGAGTTAAGCAATTGCCAATGTTCACTGCTTCCCTGAGCAATGGAATAATCAAACACATGCCACTATTTGTCATTGGTCATAGCTTACTGGTATAATTAACGTAATTCCCAACAGAAGGATATAGTTTGGAAAATGTCCATACATTCTGTGGTTGCGAAAATAGATGACTGAAATTCAGTCAACATTTTTGGCCATCTAACTTTAAAAAATTATGAAAGTGACCCAGTTTTGGGTTGTGTCGACAGGATAATTTGAGACTCGTTTTGGCTCGTTTTCAGTTGTCATTCTGCCTCATTGTCCCATTCTAGAAATAGTTGTATACGTTAACGTGATCCACTGACACTGGTATACACCAAGTGCCAAATTTGTTTTAAGCTTTAGCATGGTAACGTGGTATAATTTGACACAAAGAAGTTTGTCTTGGGTTATAAGATTAATTGTGGAGTTTTCATTAGACAATAGTGTTATTAGCTAGGTGATTAATTTTAATAGTGATGTAACTTTGCATTCCACCCATCTAATCGTGGCTGCTGCAGTAGCAGCAGCATAATCACATCTTTGTGTCAAGAGAGCCCATTTTGAAATAGCTCCACCTCCATGGGAGGCCATTTACTGGCCAAGTTTGGGCAACTGCAACATGGTTACGGAGAATGTCCCATTTTATTTTTAATTTGCGCATTCCATTTGGTGACTGTTGACTGACTGTGCTGCACAACATAGCAAATTGTGAATGTGTGTGCATGTTGTTTGTTATGGGGAGCGGTGGCCCAGTGATTAGCGCGCGCTGCTCTGCATACCGGCAACGCAAGTTTAATTCCCCGCTCACAGCAACACCAGTGACGATTTTCTGAACCGTTCCTGGGCCTCACCGAGGTTGACTCGGCATCCAAATAAGTACCTGGTGCGATGTGTAAACATCACCGCTGGGAAGACAAAGGCGGCCGGGCGTGGTGCTGGCTACCAACTCTCTCATGTGCCGTGCCGGATTTCATAGGTGGTTGCTAACAGCACCTGCCCCAACAGGCTAAACGGGGATTTGTTTTACTTTTGTGCATGTTTGTAGGGAAATGTTGGATGTTGAGTGCCCCTTTTTAACTTGCGTATTTGTGGAATGTAAACATTATTTCACTACTCGTGTGTATTTACAGCCAAAAAGGATCCACTGATGTTGGCCGTTCCGGTGACCATTGCTGTGGTTTTCATCATCCTCGGTGTCGCTATGATTGGGTTCTTCTTCATGAAGAAAAGGTAAAGATGCGTTATTGTCTTCCCAGAGATGGCAGTCTAAATCCCATCAGTTGCACTCGTGGACACATTAGTGGCCCCCAATGTTTACCATGAGCAATTGGGCTATTGTCGGAGGATTGTGCTGCAACTTTGCATTACAAGTTTCCAGAGTTCATGTGCATATACGTTATCGCTCAAATAGCAAAATTCTGCCTCATTGCTTTCACAGTGTATATGCCAAGTACACTGTGCGGTTTTAACATTTTAAACTTTCAACAGTTGTGATTCAAATTGTAATTGGCACTCTCTTTTTATATTATAAGAGGATTAAAGAAATATAATGTTTGCAGGCATTTTCCTCTCTCTTTCCTTTAACCTATCTATGCATTTAATTCACCTATACATGATGTTACACGTTTTGACCGCATTCAGACATTTTTTTAAACGTATTCGTATTGCTTTTTGGGGTGAAATTCAGATGGCATCCTGTTCATACCTTGAACAGAATGCCAAACCTGTTCATACCTTGAACAGAATGCCAAACCTGTTCATACCTTGAACAGAATGCCAAACCTGTTCATACCTTGAACAGAATGCCAAACCTGTTCATACCTTGAACAGAATGCCAAACCTGTTCATACCTTGAACAGAATGCCAAACCTGTTCATACCTTGAACAGAATGCCAAACCTGTTCATACCTTGAACAGAATGCCAAACCTGTTCATACCTTGAACAGAATCCCAAACCTGTTCATACCTTGAACAGAATGCCAAACCTGTTCATACCTTGAACAGAATGCCAAACCTGTTCATACCTTGAACAGAATGCCAAACCTGTTCATAACTTGAACAGAATGCCAAACCTGTTCATTCCTTGAACAGAATGCCAAACCTGTTCATACCTTGAACAGAATGCCAAACCTGTTCATACCTTGAACAGAATGCCAAACCTGTTCATACCTTGAACAGAATGCCAAACCTGTTCATACCTTGAACAGAATGCCAAACCTGTTCATACCTTGAACAGAATGCCAAACCTGTTCATACCTTGAACAGAATGCCAAACCTGTTCATACCTTGAACAGAATGCCAAACCTGTTCATACCTTGAACAGAATGCCAAACCTGTTCATACCTTGAACAGAATGCCAAACCTGTTCATACCTTGAACAGAATGCCAAACCTGTTCATACCTTGAACAGAATGCCAAACCTGTTCATACCTTGAACAGAATGCCAAACCTGTTCATACCTTGAACAGAATGCCAAACCTGTTCATACCTTGAACAGAATGCCAAACCTGTTCATACCTTGAACAGAATGCCAAACCTGTTCATACCTTGAACAGAATGCCAAACCTGTTCATACCTTGAACAGAATGCCAAACCTGTTCATACCTTGAACAGAATGCCAAACCTGTTCATACCTTGAACAGAATGCCAAACCTGTTCATACCTTGAACAGAATGCCAAACCTGTTCATACCTTGAACAGAATGCCAAACCTGTTCATACCTTGAACAGAATGCCAAACCTGTTCATACCTTGAACAGACTGCCAAACCTGTTCATACCTTGAACAGAATGCCAAACCTGTTCATACCTTGAACAGAATGCCAAACCTGTTCATACCTTGAACAGAATGCCAAACCTGTTCATACCTTGAACAGAATGCCAAACCTGTTCATACCTTGAACAGAATGCCAACCTGTTCATACCTTGAACAGAATGCCAAACCTGTTCATACCTTGAACAGAATGCCAAACCTGGTCATACCTTGAACAGAATGCCAAACCTGTTCATACCTTGAACAGAATGCCAAACCTGTTCATACCTTGAACAGAATGCCAAACCTGTTCATACCTTGAACAGAATGCCAAACCTGTTCATACCTTGAACAGAATGCCAAACCTGTTCATACCTTGAACAGAATGCCAAACCTGTTCATACCTTGAACAGAATGCCAAACCTGTTCATACCTTGAACAGAATGCCAAACCTGTTCATACCTTGAACAGAATGCCAAACCTGTTCATACCTTGAACAGAATGCCAAACCTGTTCATACCTTGAACAGAATGCCAAACCTGTTCATACCTTGAACAGAATGCCAAACCTGTTCATACCTTGAACAGAATGCCAAACCTGTTCATACCTTGAACAGAATGCCAAACCTGTTCATACCTTGAACAGAATGCCAAACCTGTTCATACCTTGAACAGAATGCCAAACCTGTTCATACCTTGAACAGAATGCCAAACCTGTTCATACCTTGAACAGAATGCCAAACCTGTTCATACCTTGAACAGAATGCCAAACCTGTTCATACCTTGAACAGAATGCCAAACCTGTTCATACCTTGAACAGAATGCCAAACCTGTTCATACCTTGAACAGAATGCCAAACCTGTTCATACCTTGAACAGAATGCCAAACCTGTTCATACCTTGAACAGAATGCCAAACCTGTTCATACCTTGAACAGAATGCCAAACCTGTTCATACCTTGAACAGAATGCCAAACCTGTTCATACCTTGAACAGAATGCCAAACCTGTTCATACCTTGAACAGAATGCCAAACCTGTTCATACCTTGAACAGAATGCCAAACCTGTTCATACCTTGAACAGAATGCCAAACCTGTTCATACCTTGAACAGAATGCCAAACCTGTTCATACCTTGAACAGAATGCCAAACCTGTTCATACCTTGAACAGAATGCCAAACCTGTTCATACCTTGAACAGAATGCCAAACCTGTTCATACCTTGAACAGAATGCCAAACCTGTTCATACCTTGAACAGAATGCCAAACCTGTTCATACCTTGAACAGAATGCCAAACCTGTTCATACCTTGAACAGAATGCCAAACCTGTTCATACCTTGAACAGAATGCCAAACCTGTTCATACCTTGAACAGAATGCCAAACCTGTTCATACCTTGAACAGAATGCCAAACCTGTTCATACCTTGAACAGAATGCCAAACCTGTTCATACCTTGAACAGAATGCCAAACCTGTTCATACCTTGAACAGAATGCCAAACCTGTTCATACCTTGAACAGAATGCCAAACCTGTTCATACCTTGAACAGAATGCCAAACCTGTTCATACCTTGAACAGAATGCCAAACCTGTTCATACCTTTGGGGCACCGCGGTGGCGGGATGTTAACTACCTCGCCTGGTGTTAACTACCTCGCCTGGTGTTAACTACCTCGCCTGGTGTTAACTACCTCGCCTGGTGTTAACTACCTCGCCTGGTGTTAACTACCTCGCCTGGTGTTAACTACCTCGCCTGGTGTTAACTACCTCGCCTGGTGTTAACTACCTCGCCTGGTGTTAACTACCTCGCCTGGTGTACTGTGAAGTTTGCATGATCTCCCTGTGGTTGCGTGGATTTTTCTCCCGGTCCTCCGGTTTTTCCCTCCACATTTAGAAACATTCGTTTAGAGTTTTTGCCTGCTGTAAATTTCAGCATGATAGGCCACTTCGTTGAGCTCTCATTTGTGGCCGGGTCGGTTTTGAAAAAAAAAGCTATAGAGCTCAGTGGGCCTTAGCTGCTCAAATAAATATAGTTTAAAGTTGAGTTTATACCTAATGATTGCCCCGTTTGAGTTCGTATTTATTGCTTTGTGTGTATGCATTCTGTGTTTGAACAGAAATGAGGCAGCAGTACCCAATGGAGTTTTGTATGCATCGGTCAACCCTGAGTATTTCAGCACAGCTGATGGTGAGAGTTTTTTTTTGCCTCTGTTCATCTTGACATATACTCCAAGTGTATTTTAAGAACAATGATAAAATAAGTCAAAGATAATGTTTGAAATTTCTATTTTGGTTTTGCTTTAACAGTTCATCTGGCACTGGCCTCTTATTAATAAACCATTGACACAACATGGTCAATATCGTGGATTCTAAATGTCATTGTAGTTGTGATGTTTAATAACTAACCATCTATATGTATAATGAAAAAAAATTGTATATTAAAACATCCAATACAGAACAAGACCTCACATTTTGGAGGTCCTTATGATAACAACACATGAGAGTGAAACGCCGGACATCATGGAGAAGAACGTGCGGCACAACCTGGAAACACATCTGAGCTCGTTATACGACTCAAGCATGAAAACCTACGCATTAGGATGTAACAACCATCGCTTCCCTCTTTCCTTCTGCCCTGTGCCGTGGCCAGTTTACATCGCTGACGAGTGGGAGGTGGAGAGGGACAAGGTGAAGATGATGCGGGAGTTGGGCCAGGGCACGTTCGGCATGGTGTACGAGGGCCTGGCCCGCGGCATCGTCAAGGGCGAGGACGAGACGCGCGTGGCCATCAAGACGGTGAACGAGACGGCCACCATGCGCGAGCGTTACGAGTTCCTCAACGAGGCCTCGGTCATGAAGTCCTTCAACTGTCACCACGTGGTAAGGATTCATTCTCATTGCGTCGTGCAACTCTACCCTGCCCACGTGAAGGTCTGCCAACCTGAGCGTTTGGAATGAGACGGTTTACCACATTTACGGAGCGTCTGCTCATTTGTGGCCAATGCAGGTTTTGTATTTTACGCAACTCGCGTGCGGCCAAGTATTTGTTACGTGAAACGCGGGGAGGGCAGTCTTACGTTACTAGTATTTTAATTGTAGTGATTTGCCAGACTGGAGTCTTTTTTTTTTTACACCGAGATGGTCAAGCTCGAAAAAACACTTTCCGTGAGACTTGTAGCCTCAGGCTACATTGTGAAGACCATTCACGTTCTTTGTTGGTGAGATGTGTAGAGGAAATTCTAAAGCCAATTTTCATATTTGAAAACATGTATGAATTTTGGCATAAGGTATAGAATGTATGATATAAAGTTTTATCTGTGTGTGTGTGTCACTTGTTTCGTTTTGCATGGGTTATAGGTTCGGCTTTTGGGAGTTGTTTCACAGGCTCAGCCCATTTTGGTGATAATGGAGCTGATGACACGTGGGGACCTGAAAAGTTATCTCCGGTCTCTGCGACCTGATGCTGAGGTGAGAGCTGCATTTTTATTATCCTTTAAAGGTGGACTCAGCCTATTTCTTATTCTTTTTTTCACTTTGTTTTTTACTGCTGAGAAATAATCAAATGTATCCACTTTTCTTGTGTGCAAGAAATAATAAAATAAATTATTATTACCAATCTTGTATTTATCTTGTCATGTTGATATTCACTGGATAATATAGCAAAACAAATATTAAAACATAGCTGTAATAAAAATATATATATATAAACCATGACTGTTCTGTAACACCGTATATGATTTTACTGAGACCATAGTATTGGAGTTATGTTAATGTCATCGCTTCGAACATGATGTATTCCATCGGGTTGTTCCCACGAGTTTAGCAAGTCTTATAGCCACAGAACTATGTGTCATGTGTCCTTTATAATTTGACTTTTAATGTATCCATATTAATACTATGTATAGCCTTTTAGTTGACAATATAACATATTTTTATCTGCCACAAATGTGTAAGTAAAAATACCTGTTAATTTCATACATTTACTGATGATGGCTGAAATCGTGAAGCATACGCTGTGATCACAATGTTTTACTGTGTGCTTGGCCAGTTGCTTTAAAACACTGTCTTTGCAGTGCAGTTGCAAAAATTCTGACATGAGTCTTAGCTCTTTCAGTTACTCAGCCCTAGGTGAAGAGCTAAAAAAAAATGTACCCTCTCCATTTCACAGAAAAAGCCAACACGGCCCCCATCAAGCCTGCCGGAGATGCTGCAGATGGCGGGCGAAATTGCCGATGGGATGGCTTATCTCAACGCCAAAAAGTTTGTGCATCGTGACCTCGCTGCTAGAAACTGTATGGTGGCGGAGGACTTCACCGTCAAAATCGGCGGTGCGTTTTCCCAAGGCCGAGTCACACACGTGTGACACGTGACATATTGATGTCATGTTGAGCCAGGCACGGTTTAACGTGTACGTGGCAACTTTCCATTTAGAAGGCCTCAAGGGGCGTAGCATCGTTTACCAGCTGTGTATAACCATCATGAAGGATTCAATGTAATATCTGACCTGAGTTTTTGTTTTATTCTAACGATATAAGTCGAAGCATATTTTACCCACGTTTCCGTCATCGCTTATATTTTCTATGCACGCTCTTGTGATGCGCTCATGGTAAGAGGGTCCTTTCCCCCCCCCCCCCCCCCCCTATATCTCTACATATCAGAACTGATGTATCAAGCGTTGCACACACTTGTTCTGTGTTTCTGCAGATTTTGGAATGACACGGGACATTTATGAAACCGATTACTATCGCAAGGGCGGGAAGGGGCTGCTTCCCGTCCGCTGGATGTCCCCTGAGTCACTCAAAGACGGTGTGTTCACCACCCACTCGGACGTTTGGTGAGTATGGATTGCAGTAACCCATGGGAATAACACCATCCTGGCAGCAATAACTCATGCAAGGAAAATGGGGTGTACTTACAATTTGGCTTCATTAGATGCTGCATTTCTGATGTTAACCATCATCAGCCATGATCAATCCACTGCTGGATGATGGTCTCACCAAGTAGTAGCCATTCCTCAGGATTCCGCGAGGTTACAATAATTCAATGGCTCCTCCTCTCGGTCGTTTATTAATATCAAGGTTTTTTTTTTTTAAAGTCAGTTCTCAGTGATTAAATGAACGTGTAAAGTGGCTTGACTTGTTAAATAGAAACTTGACTCCTTTTGAAAAGTGACCATCTCGGTTTCTTTGGAATATTATGATTTAATTATCTAGAATAATGAGCCCAGTAATGTTCAAAGTGTGTGCAATTGTAATTGAATATGCCGATTTGTTTTACAGGTCTTTTGGAGTTGTTCTGTGGGAGATAGCCACGCAAGCCGAGCAACCATATCAGGGCTTATCCAACGAGCAGGTCCTCAAGTTTGTCATGGACGGTGGGCTATTGGTATTGCCCCCAGCTTGTCCAGAAAGGCTGTGAGTTTAAATTAAATATTTTTTGTTCTTCTTTGTATTTGTTGTAATTATGCAGACGTTTGGTTTCGAATTAACGTATGTGCACTTGAAAATATATGTGCCTGTGTTTTAAATTATACTGATAATTATTATTGCTTTTCACACCTTAAACTACACAAGTAAACTTTGCATGATTTCACCAATAGCTACTTTTTCATGTTCCATTTCAGCATGGCTCCTTGTTAAAATGTATTTTAAGAAAATTGCATTTCATGCAAGAGGATGAAATGGAACATAATGATGTAATTGGTCTAAATTACGTGTTAAAACTCTTTTTATAATAGTAATAATGGTGAAATTAAGGGTTTGTACAAATATTTTTTTGTCATTCGTTTTTTTTTGTAACACTTTTCCTTTTCTTTTAATCCACAGACAAGAGCTAATTCGCAAGTGCTGGCAGTACAACCCACGCATGCGACCAACGTTTCTGGAAATCCTTGACGGGCTTGCCCCTGACCTTCATCCATCTTTCCACGAGTTCTCGTTCTATCACAGCGAGGAGAACAGACCTCCGGATCACGATCGTGACCCACCTGGGATGGAGATGCAGAGCATGCAGAGCATGCAGAGCTACCCCCTCGATGAAGAATCCTGTCAGCTTGAGGGGGCATCACCGAGCAAGTCTCTTTCACCCTCCGAGGTCAGCAGGGCAAGCGGTCGACTCCATTCTTCATCTTCGCCCTACTTGGCGGTGGATATGAGGGGGACCCCAGAAAAAGGAGGACGGCAACTACTGCAGAAGCAGCAGCAGAAGCAGCAGCAGCAAGTGCCGCAATCTTTTGAGAAAAAGGGGCCAATGGTAGATGTTGAGGTGGCCTTTGCGGGCATGCCAGACATGCGGGAGCCTTCCTCTCCAGTCCCTGTGCTTGGTGTTCAAGCGGTGGATGAGCGAAATCAGCCATATGCACGATTAGACACCCTCCCAGCAGAGAAGCCTCCGTGTGCTGAATCATCGTCTGAGAGCTCGGTGCCATCCTCTCCTACCGGCTCCGGTTCCGTGTCATTATCGCCCACAAAAGCCGGGGTCAACCTACCGTCGCCGACTGCATCGGGCAACAAACAGCTTCCTTATGCCCACATGAATGGTGGAAGAAAAGATGGGCGAGCATTGCCACTCCCTCAGTCAACAGCATGTTAGCCTGTCCATTTTTTTTTATTTCTCACCAAAAAAAAACAAGAGTTTATCAAGTGCGGCAATCGTGGATGCGGGGAAACTCCTATGTTTTTATAACTGCCAATACCAAAATCCCAGGAGTTGTCTCCTTACCAGGATTATTGTTACCACAACATCAAGTAATAGTGATATGCAACTTTTTTAGCTGTACAGCAATATACTCAATGGGCCACCGGCCCACTGCGTAGTCTGCAGTTTTGGGATGAAGACATCAGGGCCCATCAAGGAGCTGTTGCCCGGCACAACAATGGTGTGCAGCCTTAATAAGAAGGAATAAGAAACCTGAGAGTTTATTCCAAAAGTGCAGTACCTTATTTTTGTTGGGCTACTTTGTTGTTGGAAAGGGCATTGATCCTTCCATAACCACCTATTGTAACAGCTACATTTTTCATAACATGGACAGAATTAAGGGCTACAGTGTTGGCTCTCTCGTCATTAATAGTAGCTACTGTGAGTTGAAAACGTGATATAAAGCAAGCAAGGCTGCCCCCATTGGATGTTTTATTTACAAAGGACTGATACAGTTTTGTATCAAATTATGGTAGAATTAGAAGTTAATGAAGAAAGGTATCTACAGCTGATGTATTTTTTAGTGTTAAAGGCATCAAACTGTATTTCCTGTAATGAAACATGCATGTGACATTTGTGTTCTCTGCGTTCCACTTGTTTTTTTTGCCACCAAAATCTGTTACTTCTGTGAGTTGACATTTTTCATAAGACAATATATCCTGGCATTTACCTATACTATTTATTTTTAGGGACGGGTTTACAGTTAAGAGAAGGATCAAATTTATGACTATGTAGGGCTATTTTATTTTGCAATAAAATAGACTGCAATGAAATCTGACCAACAAGCATAGCTGTAAAGATGTTTTGGGTTTCTTTTTATTACTTGTTTGGTTTAGTGTCTTGAGACGTCAAGTCGCATTTTGCCGTGTACATCAGTTTACACTTGTCACATATGTTATATCCTGAATTAAAGGCGTTTTACAGGGCTGTCCCAGCTGTTCCAGTAGGAATTTGTCAACACATTTGTGGTGAAGTTTAAATTTGCGTACTTTCATTCCAAATTCTATGGGAAACTAAATGCACGTAAACATTTTCAAGATTCGAATTGTTCTTCCAAAGTTGAAGCAAGAGTACTTTTATGAGATTAATTGCCAAGGGCCTGGAATTGTATCCGATCGAGGGAAGAGATCGTTAAATTCAGTGTTCTCATTCTCAGCTGGTTTGCTGATGTTTAGTCTGAGGTTGGATCCCCACTTGCCCATTGCGGGCACAAAAATATATTTGACAGTTGAAAATCAAATCATGAACGATGAGGTTGAGAAGGGAAAATGTATTTTGGTGCCATGTGGGCTGCCCTCTGTCATGGTTGAATGTGCTTTATTTGTAAATTGTTAGTAAAAACACTCCCACCGATGTAGATTTATACATTTATAGTGATATGAAGGTTACATTATGCTCCTCAGAAAAGATGGTGTGTGTGGAGCCATCAAAATGTTTTATTTTCTAGACTGCAGACATCCTGAGTAGGGTAATTTCCCTTTCACTTTATAATTTAACACTTTAAGATTTCTGATAGTAATAGACTCTCCATCATCAAAGGTTGGTTTGGGCAGTCAATTAAGAAAAAAAGCAGGGTAGGCATTTCTGAAGATGACATTGCTGTAAACGTTTTAAAGTATTCAGTGTATTTTCATTTCATATTTAATTGTGTGCATTTTCAAGTTCCTTTTTGAAATTTAGTTAAAGTATTTTTTTCTTTTAGACGTTCTAGAAACTGTGTCTTGTTATGTATCATCATCGACTGTCGTGTCTCAAACTATTATCTTGCTGCTGGTTTAAATTTCGTTTTTTTATTGCAACGTGTTCATATACATATATGTATTTTGTGTGCGATTAGTCTGTTTTACACGTAGTTGTGTACAGCGAAAATATTTTTACTGGAAAGTAGCAGTGAAATAACTTAATGAGATTAGTTTCTTTGATAAGATTATTTTAGACTGCTCTAAACCAACACACTCAGGTCAGCCATGCTCTGCAGCTAATAGTACCAAACCGCACCAGCGAAGAAAAATTCTACCGGTAATCACCGTCTGTATATCTGAAGTTTTTTTTCTCATTGGTTCTTTTCTATCATTATTATTCCTTTAATCATGAATTAAATGTCATAATGGAGTAAACCGGTGTTTGCCTGCTACAAGATTTTTGTTTAGACACAAACGTGTTTTTTGAAAAAGCAGCCAATGTTTTTCCCTTTTATTACCTTCACGTCATTAAATCCAGGGAGCTAGGGGGGGGGAATGCCTGTGCTTTCATTTGTATATACTGTACTTGGTCTCTTCTTTGAGATATTAATATTGAAAATCCACTGCTAAATATTTAAGATGACATATTTTTTCTGGCTTTGAGCTTTTTGCCTGCTTTCTTACCTGCTTTAAACAAAAAAACAAAGTTTGTATTGTACCTTTTTTGTAATATTGAAAAAAAGAAACACGATTACAGTTCATGTTAATTTTTTTTAGGTTATTTATTCAGTGGTTAATTGTTGGGCTGGGCAAGAGGAATGTCTGTGGACTTTAGCGTCTTCTCAATAAATACCTTTTGATAATGTACAGCAAGTTTTTTTCCCTGACAAAAAAAAACTAAAATTGTCTGGCAATTTCCTTTTTCGCTCTTGTTAATTTGTTTAGTTTTTTTTATTAGAATGCTTACGTTTCAACCTATGAAATGCATTGCAGCCTCATTAGTCATGATTGCAGGACATTAAGGAAAAAAACTAATTGAACATCTTTGCCCACTTGTATATTCAGTTACATGCTTTTGCTGGTACATTTGTGTTTCATGGCACGTCTATTTCAACTCATCTGATTCCTTTGTCCCTCTGCCCTTTTGTTATGCAATGGTATTTGTGTTTCCCCCACCCCACTTCTGGACAGTTAACCCAAAATCTTCCACTCCATTCATTTTCGGTGCCATCATATACGCACGCATGCATGCACGCGCGTGCCTACAGCTTCAGTGGTTTGTAACACACACACACGCGCCTGTTTTGTGTTCATGTATGCGCTGAACTTGTTGCGCACCACCGTACGTAGCCAAACGTGCTCATCGGAGGGGTGGCGGCGGGGGCATCAAAACTAAAACTCAAAAATATGCACCTACACCCGGCTCCACCTACACCCGGCTCCACCTACACCCGGCTCCACCTACACCCGGCTCCACCTACACCCGGCTCCACCCACACCCGGCTCCACCTACACCCGGCTCCACCCACACCCGGCTCCACCTACACCCGGCTCCACCCACACCCGGCTCCACCTACACCCGGCTCCACCTACACCCGGCTCCACCTTACGCCCGGCCGTAATCTCTTGGACAGCGAGCAAAGCAGTTTTGTGCTTTCCGGCAAACAAGACCCAGCATTCATATACCTCCGGACACTCTCACCCCGTCCACCCTGGACTTTACAGTATCTGTGCAGCACACCATGGGGGGGGGGGGGGGGGGGCTGCCCCCATTCGCATTGACGCACACGAAAGTGCAAATGCGTAGACGTCTACCTCTGTCAAGATGATGAGCATCCATCCCAGACACCGTCTGGAAGCCAGAGCGCCGATGCTTGCTCCCCGACACACACAAATCTGCTGTTTTAGTGTAAGTTTTTTTTACCTCTTAACAGAAAACAAAAAAATGGTGACCACACCTGATGCAGGAAAGCCTCTGCCCAGTGCAGGTTGCCAACTCCTGCTTCCGATAAAAAAAAAATATAAAAGGGCCTAATTTATTTATTTTGTACCACACAACAATAGGTTTTTTTAATACAATTGTGCATATTTGACTTCCGTCTTTTTTTTTACTTGGTGTGGGGAAGAAAAAAAAAACCTTCCAAAATATGCATACTCGACTCACTGCGAAAACAGTCGTCATTTGCAAAGAATATCTGTGAATGGACGTGCGCTTTCAGGCTGAAATAAGAGAGGGCAGGGGGCTCCCTACGTTCCGTTTATTCCGTTGGACCGGCATCGTCTGGTTCATCTACACTTAGGGCAGCTTCATGTACAGGACAAAATGCTTACCGATACATGTATTGTTCAAAAGTGACTGCCGCAGAGGGGGTAAAAAAAAAACATTTCTGGTAATCACTATAATTGTAGTTGTACTTTGGCTATTTTTTTTTTACATGACACTTGTACCTTGCTTTGCATTTCCAGTATAATGGTGTAATCGCTGTAGTGTTTGAATGTTATTGGACAATATAGAAAAGCTATCTCCCCCTTTGGTGTTCACGTATACCGTATAAACACTGTACACATGGTTATGTTTCGCCCCATTGAAAAAAAAAAAAGCACTTGCATACTTTTCATTGTGTTTTGACATACGAGTGACTCGTGATCCTGGTGAGTAATTCGAACGTGAGGACGTATTAAGTGAGCGTTTTTATTTACAAATTGGTGTTCTCTCATTTTGAAAAGGTTTGCCCTTTATTTTCTTGTAGGAAGACGTTTCATATAAGCAGTCCATAATAAATTTTCAATGTAAATGAACTGCTGTTTTCTCTGCGAAAGGCTCTTTTCCCATGGATGTTTGTTGCCTGAGAACACTCGGCTTACAAGTGTTCAAAGGTTCTGTTTAACCTACATAACGTGCATACGTCACTTGGTTACACGTATGACATTACAGCGCTTTGGAATCGAGTGCATTCAAGAGGAGTGTGGTTTTCGAATGTGCACCTGTAAAAAAAAATCCCGGCGTTCCATTTGTCCGTCAACTAAATTATAAGAGCCCTTCAGAAGTTCTGAATCAAAAAGTTATCGAAAGTGAACCCCCCCCCCCCCCCCCCCCCAGATGTGGGGGTAAAAAGTTGATCCAACAGATTTTTTAAAATAACCGCCCCCTCCTGCCTCAAGAAATAAATGTCTTTTGTAGGCAAATATGCGTACACACCCTATTTAGAATCGAGTGAAGATCTGCACACATGGGAGAGAAGAGGACATTAGTGGGGGCGACGGGCGAGGCGCGCATTGCCGAGAAGCCCTCTGCAGGAGTTAGAACAAGGCGGCCACAGGCTGCCGAAATGTTAGTTTGTGTAAAAAAAGTTCGCTAAAATGCATAACCAGAGGGAATGTGTTTTTGGCCAGTTGTAATACGTGCCTTCAGCTGGTGTAGCTTTCCATGGCCGTAATGCCACGTTTATCGGCCAGACTCGATGTGGGTCTTTGAAATCTGTCATGCTGCCATCTGGCGCTATATCCATAATGGGCAAAATTCAAAGGTACGCAAGCAGTAGTGACCCCCATACCAAGTACCGTACCTTAAAACAATTTCTTAAAATAGTTGGTAACAAAAAAAAGTTGTATTTTTAAACAGTTTCAACATTTCTAACACGTTGAAGATGAGAGGAAAAATGTCGACCAATGGTAATCTGTCAAAGTTAAGCTGGCTTATTAATGATAGTAACACCACATTTCTATACAAATTAATATTTTGTAATGTGTGCAATATTTGGATTCTTTTACACTAGTTTTTAAAGTATTTTAGTTGGAAGTATGTTGAGCTTTCGCACTGTACGTAGCCACGCACGAATAATATGCTTACAAGCACTTTTCTGCGCTCAACCAAATTAGTCACCGATGCTTTGTGCAAATCTGTCAATTATTTTGTTGTTTGTTTTAAGTAAGGGGTCCCTGGCTGACCATTTTGAAGCAGTTTACAGTTCTTCATCAGCCATGCACCACTGCTGGATGAAGGCTGCCGCCGCCGCCACCTCTCACAATCCTATGATGTAATCATCCACCCTACACTTAGACATGCACCGTTTTTATCACGCCTCCTCAGCGTGCACACGAAGCTGGTGGTTCCACAGCTCAATGCAGCCATTAGGGTCATCTCAGGGACGCTAAAGAGCAACACTGCTGGCCGTGGCTTCTAGTCCTCGCAAACATTGCCACGTGCGCTAGGGAGTACCGCAAGGCCATCAAAAATCTAAACCTCCCAATAAACAAGGACATCTCCATGCCACCACCCCACAGGCTCAAATCCAGGTAACCTTTCTGGCAATATACAAAGAACCTCCATGACGATGACAAGACCACCGAAGCAAGATGGAGGGAAGCCTGGGTACACATCAACCTGTTGCAGCGATCCACAATCCTCCAAACCGGATCTGACATACCGAGGAAGATGTGGTGGACACTTTCTCCATGAATGCAAAAAAAACCAGAGTCCAGTTTGTGTCTGTGGTGCGACATCTCGGAGCGTGCAACATATCGTGAATGACTGCCCAATCGGATGATTCAACGGCGATCTGAAACAAATTAACGCGACTACTACTGATGCAGTCGAATGGATATCAAATCTCGATATCAATTTCTGATCTGTTGCAATCCCCAAAAATGTCATACGATAGAAGAGTGAGCATCGTCTCTGATGGATTTCAGTCATTGCCTACCACTTCAATATTTTTGACCATTTATCCCTGCTGTGTTGCACAAGAACACTTTATTTGATTAAATCTCGATTATGTCATCAAGTTTTCATAATTAATGTGTTCCTCTCTCGTTCTCAAAGAAATTCCAACCATGCATCTCGCCATGATGCTTTGCAATTTTTAATTTGTTTCACTAACGTCTACGTTTCTGAGCCATGTGTTTTAGCAAGTAGCATGTACTGATTACAAAAAAGTTATGTTTTGGCACATTATTTCTCTTGTCATTATCAAGTTGAATGTACAGTTCAACCATTAACGGGCCTGCTAAGAAGGCCCGTTTTTCCAAGAATTGTTTACGATATTTCTTATCTTGTGGAATACATTCAAAAGCACAAACTGTTTGACCAGATTCTACCCAGAACCAGTGCGCACACAAGTGCACAAGTTTGAAGGCTAAGAACGCTTCAATTCTTTTTAAGTATAAAACAAATCTGAAAGCAACATCTCAAGAGTACTCACTTTATTATTAAATACGCACTTTGGAAAACAAAGTAAAAGTGCATAACCAAACAATATAATTAGAAAGCATGTATTTTAGAATACCTTACACTAAGTCTCATTTATTCATTGTTGTCCATCCTCTTTGGTGACGTCCACAGACATTGTCTAGCCAGTCGTATGACAGTTCCTAACGTAGGCATAATTTACACAAATACAACCAGCTCTTGTCAATCACAAACAAAGTAAAGCACACCTATGTCTCTGGAATATATATAATAACTAGACGTAAATGTAAGCATTTGAGTTAAATTATTTGTAGATGGCTAATCCCAATAACTAGTCATTACACTAACATTATTTAAATACAATGTTCTACTGTTTAAAAACAAAGCTTGCATTTCTTAAAATGAGCAAAGGTAGGACAGCTGGGATTATGGCATTGTGCTGAAAAAATATAGTAAACCTGTATTTACATTTGTGGTTTTGTCTTTCCGCATAGTAGTTATAAATAATATAGGAATGTCAGTAGATCTATACTTTAACTGAAGAAGTTTTCTGTTTAAAATGTTACCAAGCAGTACTTGCATTTTATCTGCAAATAGAAAATAATGTCATATTTTCGTCAAATATATAATGTATTATGAAGCCGTACAGATATAAACAGTCGATTAAAACAATATATTTTTTAAAAAGTTATATTTTACAAAACGACACCGAACTTCATAGAGCAAAGCAAGTCTTTAAAGAACCAACTTTATGTACCAAAGTAGTACGTCTGTGCCGCTATCACCGGTGATGCGTGCCGCGGTGGGCACGATGAGAAATTATTAGTCCTCTCTTGGCACGAAGGCAGACTCCAAATCCTGAAATGATATTTAAACAAAGTTAGGTAATGTCATTTTAAACACACAGCTTGTCATTGTTTATTGTGGAAACTATTTTGTGTTTTCACATTTTTTTTCAACAATCCCATTTAAGTAAATACCTTGGTGGTCAGCAGGACAGCTTCTGAGTCTTCAAAACGTCTGCCCACGCCCTCCTGCGCTATCTGTGAAAGCAAATCTTCCGGCACGCTCTGTCCCAGTCCTTCCTGCTCCCGATCTTCTGTGCCAGGTTGCTGGGCATTGTGCACGTTGCTGACCCGTGAAATCTCATCTCTCGTGTCCGCGTTGTCTTTGCTCTCCGTTTCTGTTTCAGCTGCTTCTTTTTCCTGCTCGCCCCCCTCTTCCAAAAGTTGCTGGGGGGGAATTTCTGCCCGTTGCTCGAGGTGTTCCCAGCTCACTCTTTGCGGGACCTCTTTCGTGGCCGGTTCTGTTAGCTCCCCCTCTGCTCTCAAAGTGTCTCCGGGCTCCCCTTCCACTTCTCTGACTTGAAGCACGTCCCCCTCGTGCGTTCCCCGTCGAGCCTCCGGTTCCACCCTGCTCTCCACCTTTTCAATCTCCAGGTGCCGCGCGGTAGCGTGCTGCCCCTGCTTAGCCTTGCCGACGTGTGCATTGTCACCACCGTCGCCGCCACCTGCGAGCCCGGCAGCGCCGCCGCTCTCACGACCGTCGTCGGCTGCGCGGTGGAGTTTTGGGAGCGCGACCGCTGCGTCGCCTTGCCGCGTCAGATCTGCCGTCGCCGCGTCGTCGCGCTGCACGTCTTTGCCGCGGCGCTGCTCCTGCACTTCTGCGTTAACGTCTGCACGGCCGCCGTCGCTCTCTATGCGGCCGATCTGTTCCACGCGGTGGCCTTCCTCGTACGCCACGTCGAAAGACTCGCCGTCGGTGTCGGAAACAAACGTCTCCTCCTCGTAGTCTCGCTCTGCGCCCTCGTAAAAAATGTCCGATGTTTCCCCTGGCACGGGCTCTGTGTGTGAATAACAGAACGCGTGTGTTTTTAATCGGTCGCCTTAAAGCCTGCAATACAAATGTGCCATAAACTAAGGACAAGAATAAGGATCTGTGCAGCCCTGCAATTTCTTGCTCGTGCCACTGCTGACAGAAGGGCCACCACCAGAGAGAGCTCGAGACTAGAGGATGTATTGGCCTATTCTTCCACGGTGGCCCAGACTTCTTGTAAGAAGGTGGGAGTTCCCACAGTTTACCCCACCACACGCAACCTGCCAATCGACTCACTGGTGTGCCCATTTACACTTCCGGTTGGATTTAATCAACTTGCCCATTGTGTCAATTTCCATGACAGCAGATCCAACCAAGCTATCTCTGGATTCCAGGCCCTTGCGTAAATAACCAGCGCACCGTGGCATGCATCCATCCCTATAATAAGGCTACTGGATAGGAATTGACACGTTTCTTTAAAAAGCGGGGTTATGTGAGGTTGGAAATTAGTTCCAAGAAGCTGCGCAAGAGAAAAAAAATGTTCTGCCCCCACAGTTGAAGCAACTGAACACAGTATAGATGAGAGGAGTCAGCCAAGGGAGCAGACTGCCATCAGAAATCTGAGGCCGAATACAAACATTCAGTTCCAGAGAACAACGCGGGAGAGAGGAGGTAACAGATTGACGATAATGGAGTGGCTGTTGTAAATCAACGGGCAAAGGATCATAAATCAGATTGCTTAAAACTGAATCATAGCTGAAAGACAAAAAAAAACGCGTTCCCATCAGCTCTCTCCCAAATACTGTGTAAAAAGTAGTCGGAAGCCAAACAAGCCAGTGATTTATGGCCTGCACCTTGCTTGGCGTTGAATTGGCAGGGTTAGTGGGAGAAATTATTACCTGGTGGAGGTGGCAAAAAGCGCACGGGTGGTGGTAGTTGAAGCCCTTCTATCTCTCTGGGTTCTTCGAGGCTCGAAACTTCTGTAATGTAAATACACGGTAGATTGTCACTTTTAATGTATCAGCATATTTAGATTGGTATTAACATTCTAATGTGAAATATTTATAATTGGGATTTTCATCGTAGTGTATTGGGTTATTTTTTTATAGAGAGCAAAGAAAAATATTCATGCCTGGTTAAAAATCCTGGTGCATATCCACGATGGAGTAAAAACATGGTATGTGACGACAGCCAATGTTGGTTCTATGTTACTTTCTTGCAGTTATTTCCAAATTCTGCACACGATGATGGGAAGTTGAGTGGCAAGTTAACGTGAAGGAGCCGCCATCCTTTTTAAACCAGTAGGACGAGGCGTTTAATTTTGTAGCATCTTAAGGTCACCCCATTCATTGCGAGCGGCTAATTTCCCGCCCCAAGACATATGGGCATGTTTAATAATGACGTATTCTTGCTGACAACCAGTAAAAAAAAACATTTAAGATTCTCAAGAGAACGCAGCGTGAGAGAGGCCCATCGACGCTTTTTTTTCTGTTGAACAACATTAATTGAGACGCGAGGCCTTGGATCATGTGACATGCACATGTTATGGCCATTTTGTCAATCCACTGATGGATGAGGGGCCTCCCCACGCCGTGCAGATAATTTAACCACAACTCACCACCCTGGTCGGTGTTGATCGGCGAAGGTGGCAGCATAGACGTGCAGCGCAACAATGGATTCTATTGCATTGCCCTCTGCGGGCCCGCAACGTAGCGTCGTGGTCAACCCATCCAAATATTGGCCAGGTCCAAACCCCGTGAAGCTTCCCAAGATACGATGAGATCGGGCGCATTCTTTGAGAGTTCGGGCGTTCGGCCCCCCCGCCCCACCCCCCCAAACTACAACACGGCTTTTTTTTTTTTTTTAAACGCAGCGGGGAAAATTCTTCAGGTCCTAGAAAGAGAGAGCGCAGCAGCGGCAGCATAACCCGCCGCCGGTGCCGGCGGTGCGTGCTTACGGGATGCAGAGCAGTGTCCCACCGGCACCTGCTCGAGGCACGTGTTATTGCGGCAGGCGGCCACCTCCAGCTGGCAGCGGTTGGGGTAGAGGACCCCGTCGGAGCCGCACACCGGCTCGCCGTCGTAGCCGCAGTCGCGGTAGCACGTGCAGCGCTCGGAGAAGCGGTTTTCCTCCGCGCAGCCGTACGCAACGTTGCAGGAACTGCCGCTTGAAAATCCTGGCGAGTGGGCAAAATGAAAAGGGGGGCATTGTAAATGTGGCTTTGCAAGGTTTGCGAATAGCAACACATGTTAGTTTTCATCATCATCATCATCGTCGTTTATTAGCCATTCCGCGCCTGTCATGCAGTACATCTGGAGGTGCTAAATGTATTATTGATAAATTAAAAGCACACTTCAGTAAATAAATATTGTATTTTGTCAGTATGAATACTGCTTCAATTGTGTAACATTTGCCAGGTCAACCTTGCAAAGGTAGTTCAGGAATTAAGCACTAATTTAGTTAAAATTATTAAACATAGCTCGCCGCAGGAAAAAATATTTTTCTCCTCCACATCGTGGAGCATTCAATTCTAGCAATGTTTAAAGAAGCAACTTGTTGAAGAATAATGGGATTGGCTCTCTGTCGTGTTCTCGTGGTGTAACTCCGATGTGCTGGGAATGTCTTCAGCAACTGAATTAAAGTTTCCAGCACGTGGAGCGAAACGTCGTACATTGTGCCGAACAACACGGAGTGTACGACCTGAAAACACGCATCGCAGAGCTGTGTAGCTCGACCCGTGAAAAGCCTAGAGTGCAATTTGAAACCATTGGGGATTTAATGTATATACCAACGTCATGTGCCAGATTTTGTTGCCAAAATGAGTCTTGTCTCTTGAAGTACCTCCTCGTTCAAATATGGGAACATGTATTCTTCCAAGATGAGAATCTGACCTGTGTGTGACCTGGTTAATAAAGCTGCACAACAACAGAAAGAGTTACCAGCGTGTGTGGTTGAATGTGCTAAATATTAGTCGACCAAAAACATGCACATATCGTCTTCGTATGGGTAGTACTGTAAATATGTTATTAACTGAAACCAGAATTATTTTTGAAATGCTCTACTGTATTTGAACTGGGTTTCTATGGACACCTTTTTAAAGGGCAAACTTGTATTACCGTACATGCTGATTTGCAAGGCTTCACCGACACTTACAGGAGTGTTTAAGTTGTATAAAATTTGAAAATAAATTATATTCACATGCCAAATACATCCCCGACAGTGATGGCTTGGAAGAGGCCTTCAGCCATCAGTGGATAGATCATGGTAGCTGCTGATGTAACCACATACATTTAGTCACCTGGTGTATGCACAATCGATGCAAATAGCCTTTTATATGTATTCAGAAGTGTGTTTAGGTAATGTTGCCGAGGGAAAACATGTTGATATTCTTACTGAAGACTCGCAACAATGCCTCATGGCTGAGGAAATATCCACGTCCAGTTTAACAGTTATGTGTAAGCCCAATGAAATATTTTTTGATGGCATGTTTAATTTTCCCGATACACCGGAGAATCCAGGGCTCAGTCTACATATTTAAACCCGGTCAAAAAAGTACACCGTATATATTTATATTTTTAACCCGGTTTAGAAAAACATGGTCATAAACAAAATTACGGACCAAAAATCTGAAAGTTCACAAAGAAGTGTGGAGGGAGACAAGCTTCGAATTACACTGAGAGACAGAACTAGGGAACGCAGTAGAGAAACACACACGCGGGCTTCTTAATGACATTAAAATTGTTGAGAAAAGTCAATGGGCCTGCACAGGACGTGTCGCTATGAGGAATGATGGCTGATGGTCACGAATAATAATGATAATGGCGTGTCAGCCAAGGAATGAAACCCGTTCGAGAGCTGGAACAATGAAATGTGTTTGTGTGCTGGCGATAGGTGGATTATTATTACAACGACGTCGCACGATCATGAAATGGCAGGAGCTTTGGGTGGCCTATCAACCCAGAGTGGATTGACCATGGATTATGATGTTGATGAAAACAGTTTGGTTTGGTTTTATGATCCCAGCCCTGCCAAAGATGCATGTAATCCACCTAACGCCCTGAACAAAAATATATGTATTTGCACTTGATTTGGTCAAAGCCGGCTCTGAAGGGCGCAACTTTGACGGTTTCTTAGCTGAAGAGCGCCCTCTGTTGTGGATCTTAGATAAGTGAAAGTATAGTGGTGAAGAATATCTCATGAGAGGTGTCGGGTTAGAAGCGTTGTCACCACTCTGTAAGTTTTCACACTGGATAAAAAACTTCAGAGAGCGACGTTTGCTTACGGTGACCACAAACATTCATCATTATTATTATTATTACATTTACGTAGCGCTTTTCATCAAGGATCTCAAAGCGCTGAACAAGAGACAGCAGCAGCAGATACCCAGCAGCATAGACAAATATAAATACATATTCTTGGTTCTTTCGGTAAAGTCACGTTGAATGGAAACAATAAAATAATATATATAAAACAATCACACCTGATGATGACTGTTTGTGTTACAGTCGAAACGTCGTGAGAATTTAATTGTTTTATATATATTTTATTATTTTATTGTTTCCCTTCAACGTGACTTTAGCGAAAGAACCAAGAATATGAATTACTGCAGTCACGAAAGCTTTAAATCAAAATATAAATACATTTAAAAAATCAAGATCAGTTCCCTCCCCTGGGGTGAGGTTTAATACGCCACTACAACAAGTTCACATATAACCTCAAGTGGCAAAGGGGGCAAAAATTAAAACAAAAATCGCGGTGGGAAGAATTCACCGCCTGGAAATTCAAGCAATTGTTGTGTTGAATTTCGATTTAAAGCTTTCGTGACTGCAATGATTAATCTTCTTTGGTTCTTTCGGTAAAGTCACGTAGAATGAGAATAAAATAATAAATTGATAAAATAAAATAACACAATATTTATTTTATCAATTTATTATTTGATTCTCATTCTACGTGACTTTACCGAAAGAACCAAAGAAGATTGTGTTGAATGTAGCGGCCTCTAGCGGCTGCGGGAGTCCCAACAAACCCTTCGGTACAGCGGTACAACGTCCAGTACACGACGTAACATCTTCTAAACACGCTCTTCCAAAAACGGTTCGAAGCGTGTATTGCGAGATTTCAGAATCGATATTAATCCATGCGACCATTATACCTCAGCGCAAGCCCTACCTGCGTACCCTTTTACTTAACCGAATGTGGAAATGTGTCCTAAATACATCTGATGTTCAATTCACAGCCAGTGATACCTTGAACCGGTCCTGGGCCTATCGCTCTTAATTCGCGAACCCGCACCGACCCCATGAAAAAAACCCCATAACCACGCCGTTATGGGGTATTGAGCAAACAAGTGTTTCATTCTTCTAAGCCCCCCACCCCACCCTAATTGCCACAAATGTAGATGAAATGATGAAAAAAAACCTTTTAACGTACATTTTTACTCTAACCTTATTTATAACTAATCCAACTAAGCAACAATCAATTGACATTGATTGGGGCGCCGCGGTGGTGAGATGTCATCCCCTTCGCCCGTCACCCAAGATTACATTGGTTCGATCCCGGACCCTGATAATGCCTCTTGTATATTTGGGGTCCGCCTGTTCTCTCTGTCCCCGTGGTGGTCGCGTGGATTTTTCTCCACATTTAGAAACACGCATTTACATTATTTGGCTCCTATGAATTCCAACGCGTGATAATGATGATGTAAGCCGCTGCGATGAGCTATCGTGTGTGGCCAGGTCGCCTCTGAAACAGAGCTGATAGCTTAGTGGGCTTTACCTGTTAAATAAAATAGTTTAGGCCACGGGACGGCAACCTTTCAAAGAAGAAGAGGCATTTTTTTTTGTCTTTGACCAAAATAGTTCAAGAGCCGTATCGCACGCAGAGTTACTTGTACACATTACAGAAATACAGCAGATTACAAATACATTCTGACTTACATAAACAAAATAGATGATGGGATAAACTGCGTCTATTTAAGGTTTTCCCCTTTCGTTATTTTTTAACAGTACAGTTTAACTTTTGTTTATTTTGTTGGCACCAAGACATCCCATAGTGACCCATTCCCTACCATATTAATACATTATCTTTATTCCCTGCCATATTAATACATTATCTTTATGTTAAGTTACGTTTAAGATTTAGTTTGTTTTTTAACGGCTGCCCGCTAGGGGGGCAGCCACAGAGAGCCGCAAGGGGGGGGGGGATGCCAAAGAGCCACTGCACGTGGGGCTCTCGAGCCGCAGGTTGCCGACCCCTGATTGAGACAAAGGGCCCGGGACGCAATATATATTTGATACCGCAGACTGCCCTGAAGAGGGCGTTTTGATTACATTTATATTGCAAGAGACGCGCCAGTAAATTTTCCAACAAATTCAATTTGTGCGGAGTAAAGCAAGAGAAATGTGTGCCTGCGGAGGATTGCACTCCCATCGTTTTTTTTTCCTGTGAGATGCAAAAAGTCCCTTCAGCGTCCAACATTCAACTGGACTATATTGGTATGTTGTTTTTCTGCCAATCAAACGAATGAAAGGGCAGAACATTTTTTTATTTGGCACTCATTCCATTTAGAAAAGACCACACAGTCTTTGAGAACAAGGACTCTCAGTGCTCCGTCAATGCGACCTTGTCCTGACATTCACGGTGTCAGCCAGCATGCCCTCTTTTACCTGCTATCAATGTTTGGTCTTCATCTGTAAATGTTTATACTCTCCCAGACATATTATTCCAAATGTGTGTAATCTATTATTTTGTAAGTTTGTTGTCAGAAAGCCATTGGGCGAGTGGCTTAACTATGTTGTCAGAAGATGGAGTAATCATGGCTTGTTTTGCTTGGAAATAATCATTTTCAATCTGACACGGTGTGACTCATTACAGCATGATCTATTTTACCTGCAAGAGATCGCCACCTATCACAGGCATATGCCGTATAAAAAAAAACATGCACGTTCATTATATTTCTTACGCATCATTTAATAAAACATCGCCGTTTTGTCGATCCACTGTTGGATGGAGGCTGCCCCACGCCGCTCCGGCTGCAGAGTTTGCTTTGTACTTGACTTGGCTGCTCAGTGTGGATTTTGTGAAGGGTGGGGAACCCAGGGACTACCGTAGTTCAAATGTCACGTGGCTCTAATGTTATCCATGGCTGGAAATCAAACACGGATCGCCGAGTTCATAGCGCCACTGCTCGACCGCATAATACAATGGTATTATTAATTACAATGTGATCGTCAGCCATGATCCATCCACTACTGGATGAAGGCCTCCCCAAACCGTCACAATCTCTCTCACGATCGTGCCACGTGGTAATGCACCTATCACCGACACGTGCTGGTTTAATCACTTGGGCTCCTTCGTGGACATTCTCTTCGACGCGTCCCATTGTCTTTGGCTGCACTCTGTCACTATTTTTGACTATCGACCATCATCCCTGCTTGCGGGCGTGTCCTGCCCAAGCCCATTTACTGTTATTCACAGTTTGAACGGCGTAAATTTACTCGAATTTGAATCATTGTGTTTTTTTCTTTCAACATAATTTTTTCTTCTTTGGTTCGTTCGGTAAAGTCACGTAGAATGAGAATAAAATAATAAAATAAAACAATAAAATATAAACGTGAACCCAAACACATCACCCTGGTCGGTATGATTGTCTACAGTCAGTTAGCACACATTTTTTTCCTTCATAACAAGCGGTCAAGCACTGAACATTTAAAACAGCGTTGATGTAATGGAAACTTGGTGTGTAAAAGTAAAGATTCAGCCCTGCATTTGCTTGATCACACTACTGCTGACAGAAGGACCTCCACTTGAGGGAGCTCTTAGAGGATATTTGGCCCATCATTGCACGATGCCTTGGCACAGGCGAGAGAGTGCCCACATTCTAAGCCACCACACGTGACCTGCTGGTAGACCATGGCGTACCCATTTCATGCCGCCTGGTGGACAGAAGTGTTTGGGGGGTGATGAAGAAACTCGCTCCGTTTGATCAACTGCCACCCCTGGAGGTCGAACCAGCGACCTTCTGGGTTGCAAGTTTGTCTGCTAAACATTTCGCCATGGCAGCTTCCCATTGGAAACACGGGTTGTTTGAAAGTGAGGGCACAAAATGGCCGTGACAAAATAATAATTTTAGCGGAATTTACGTCTCCGCCACCAAAACGATGGAGTTGTTAACAATGAAAATGCACTTAATGTTTGTGTTAGCAATGGCAAGGAGCAGCCTCGCCAGGAAAAATGTGGAAGCAATTTGTAACTCGAGCTATTTTCAATTTGCCGACAAAACAAGGAGCTTTACGTCGTCGCGAACATTTTAAAATCACACCACTTTTGCAATTACGAATGTCCCGTGCAAAACATAATCTCTGCAGATGGTTAAACAAAACTACAAGTGGCTTTCCCCGCTAAAAAATTATTGCCATAGTATTGCAGCAAATTTCCCGAATTTGAAACGCTGAAAACCAATCTCAGGCGCTGACTTGCTGACTCGCCTGCGATTGCCAGCGCTGTGATAGTTTTTCTGTACATTTCTAATGCTTGAAAACTGTTCAGTAAAACTGCACAGTCGAGCGTCAGTGCAGCAGCAGCGGCTCTCCAGAGTGCATTAAGGAAATGAACTCAGATTTGGAGGAGCGTAGGCGGTTGTGGCGGTATGTCATTCTCCCCGTTGTGTGCCCCTGTGGTAAACCTCAGAGGGGGGAGGGGAAGGGGTGTTTGTCGAAGGGATAGGGATCACTGCACATCCCACCCAGACCCCTAAACAAAACACGCAATGTACACACGCCACCCCACAGGCAGCCCAACAAGCCATCATCTCATGGTAGAGCACAGGAAGCCAGCCATTACGCAGGAATGTGTAAAAGTATCCCCGTCTCCATGGATATGGGAGAAATAAGCCCCCTGAGAGGTGGATGTGACCCACAGGACCTCCCAGGCGCTGTGGACATCGGTCCCTGGGAAGTACTACTCCTCTGCAACCGAACGCTTTGAAGTTAATTGCAAATGGCAACAACAACAACAAAACAACGTCGTCGTTGTTGTTGAACGTGGCAAGCCTCCATTGAGAGCGTGTCCTCTTGACGATACGCTTGGCGTCTCGGAAATCGACGTGCGTTATGTAACGTTCGGAACGTACCTCGAATGGAACTAGCCAACGAAAAATCCTCCAGCGTTATAATTCGAACAGCGTGGCGATTCCATCGCAATGCACTGGGAGCCCAATTCTTGCCATCAAAAAATAAAATTGGGCAATGCAGAGACGATACATCTGCGGTGGATGTCTTTGTCAGCAGAGGTTCGCCTTGTCCCAAACTTACAGCCCCCCCCCCCCCGGCTATGTTTTTACGTGGCTCCTCACGGTCCCCCCCCCCCCACTTCACCGTAGAATTCTTCATATCTCTGAATGTTTGCGGTATTTCGGGCGTGAACCATTACGCGTCGCTGCTCGTATTGTGGTGGCTTGCAGTGATTGGAGCGGAAAATGGGGGGGGGGGGGGGGGACCCAAAGTGGGGGAATCAAAGTGGGCATCCGAGAGACCCCCGCGGGGGATGGGGGGAGGGGTACCTGCGCCAAGCCTTCAGCGCGTCGGGGCTTCGCAAAAATCCCTAAAAATCGCACGAAGCTGTTCACTTTGCTCATCAATCGCCAATGCACCGGTACTCGGGGTCAATCGGATCCCGTGCGATGCGCTCCCTCCGATGAGCACGGCCGGCTAACGTACGGCGCGAAAGAAGTTCGGCGTGACATACACGCAACGCACACGCAACGCAGGCACGTGCACCGTGGCTCACCGATCCACTGGTTGGTGGAGCTCTCCACCTCGTTGCAGCTCTTGCCCTCGCACAGCTCTCGCGCCAGAGGGCTGTTCGCGCTCGCGTTGTAAAACCGCGTGGCCTCCAGCGCTGCCGACGCCAGAGAGATAGAGAGAGGGGGGACATTCTGACTTATCATCTTTGTGACTGCAGGAATTAATATTCTATGGTTCTTTCGGTAAACGCCGTGAGTTTTTTTGGCTTTTTTTAAAATACATTTTTTATGTTATTATTTTTTATTTTAGTTCTAATTTTCTATCTACGTTACTTTACCGAAAAGAACCATAGAAGAGAGGGGACACCCGTTCAGCATTTCCCTCCGTTACTCTCCTCGCGCTTGCTCCCGCTCGCGCTGTCAGTTATCAATCAACGCCCGGAGACACCAAAAAAAAAACAACGCCTCCTTTTTGGAACGATCGTAGGGCAGCGTTAACCCCCCTCCTCCCCCGTGCGTTCGAAGGCAACTCGCGGAAAGAGGATTTCATAGCACTGCTTCAAATGAAATTGTAAAGTAGCGGTGTATTTTTCCCACATGCACTGCCACAGAGAGAAATGCGTATGGAGTGCCAGTCAACCTGATATTACAAAATATTATCAGAGGTCAAATTTATCCAAATTAATGTAATATATATTTAAATGTGATTTAATGCGCAGTCATTGGTTACCAGGCCGAGATCATCAACTCACTTTACTTTAGAAGTCAGTTTAACCACAGGTGCCGACTGGGATTGAAACCCAGCATCTCAGAGGTGTCACCTCAGCACTTTAATCCCTGAGCCACCTTCAGAAAAGAAACTTCAACAGAATGTGTTCCATTTCCCACAAGTAATGTTTAGTTTGTACTGATGATCCTAAGAGGTGAAGGCGCAGCCCTGCAATGCCCTGCTCATGCCACTGCTGGTGGAAGGGATTTCAATGAAGGGAGCCATAGACAGCTCCTCCAACGTGTATTTGGCCTACTCTTCCATGCTGGTTACACGTCTTAGAAGAGGTGAGAAAACCCACACTATAACTGCTTTTGTGTTTGCGTCCTTCCACCGCCGTACGATTAGTATGGTTGGCTACGCACAGGGTGCGAAAAAAGTTCAACATGGCGTACCCATTTATCCTGCTGGATGGAAAGAGACGGGGGAGGGGAGGGTAATTAATAAACCTGCAACAATGTTTCAACCGCCGTGCCAGCCGACTGAAACGGCAACCTCTGCCTTGCACGTCCTAACCATCGTAACCACGGCAGCATCCGCCCAATTTACGGTGATCACCAAGATAATGGAGTGGCATTAATTATTAACGATCCAGGCTGTCCCGAGACGAACCGGGTTCGTAGTAGTCGTAGATCTTGACAGGGACCGGAGCCGTTTGGCCCACGATGTACTCACGGTCGGCGTGGAACTTGACACACGTCATGCACTGGTTGGGGATCTGCACGCACACAAACCAAGCGCACGTGATCACGAGAGAGCTGCAGTCACGGTCGGCTGGAAAAAAAACCGCCTCCGTGCATTTTAATATTGCCCCGAAAGCTTCGTCCAAACTCTACCATATGTCTCCAATAATAGCGTCATCAACGACAGTTACCAAATGCACATTCAGATGTTCGTTCACTGCTTACCTCGTCAAAATAGAACAACACTTTGCGGCCGTCCAATTCGTAACGTTTGAGACCCAGTTTCTTGTCCAGTAATACCTGCAAACATGTTCGTTGTGTTAGTGATGTTTTTTTTGCGTAACATGTTCAGGAAGGAAAAAAAACTAAAAAACGATATTATGTTCAGGAACACTGCTTAAATTGTGTGTGCATTGCTTATGAGTAACAAATGTGAACACAACCCCAAGGGAACCTTTTAATTGTTCCCATGCATTTCCTTGGGACTAAGTGCAATTACGCGTTACTCAAAAACCACATGTTTAAAGCGCAGCCTTTAATTACACGCTGCGCGTTTCACTGATGTGAACGACATCCCTAATAATAGAAAGTCTCAAACTCCGGTCCAAGCACCCGTACACAGCCCAGGCATCCATTTTTTACCACTGACACAAGATGTGTTCGGTATGTTAGGACATTAATTAAATTGAGATTATTCTAACGTGAAAAGGTGAAACTATGGTGGGAGTTAAAGATCAGGCCTTGCGAAGCTATGCCTTAAAACAGCCGTCTCCAAGAACAATTTGCTGATCGTGCAGGCACGCCGATTAGTCTTGGTAACTTTTAAAGAAGCAGGCCAAGTGAATGTAAGTTTATTGCAGAATTTGCGTATTTATTTTAATAAGCACCGGCGATAACGTTGGAATAAGAGCAGCGACATTTTTCACGGATGTCCTCTCTCTGGCATATTATTAAAGGTGAAAGCTGAGCGAATAGACTCAGACCCATATGCCAGATAACATATTCGACTTTTCATTTTTTATCCTGCCTTGCTGTGTCATCAAGGGAGGTTGTTTTCCCCAGATCAGATATTATATTGGAAACATATACAATGATGCTGGCGAGTTTTTTTTTAAGTCTCACGGGATGCATCAGCGAGTATTAAACGAGTTACCAGCAAATATATTTGAGTGACCTACTTAAGAAACTTTTCAGGCGATTTTTCTTGAGCTCAAAATGTCCCAGGATGATTGTTTGCTCGAGGAATTGCCGTAAATCAAATAAACACAATTCAGCTTTTTAGGTGACTTTCTTTTGTGAGTAATTAAGAAGATTGTGGTGTAAATTATTTATTTCAGGCCTCAGAATCATGAGAGTCTCTAAAGTTCTACATGAATCAATTTGCATTCATGCCTGTGCAATCATATACTGTATAAACTATTAACGTATTCTTGCAAGTCTCCCTTGTTGCTAAAGTAGAGTGGTATTTATTATACAATTGGAATGTAAAAGTGCATCTTCAAAGCAAACTTTGTTTGGTGTGTGCAACTTTTCAACTAATTTGTTCTCAAGGTATTTTACCGGCCGTTATTTCAAGTGGAATGAAACTTTGCCTCAGAAGAATAACCTGGACCACTACTGGCCCATGAGTGTATGTTGAACTTCTTTCGTGCCGTACATAGCCAACCGCGCCAATCGAGGTACGACGGGAAGGACAGCAAGCCAAGCACAAAAAAAAACAGTTCTAAAGAAATGAGTTTAAAATACAGATTGAAAAGTGCATCATTGCCTCGGCCAAGCTTACCTGTTCTAAACTTTCCACATCGGCACGGAAGCCAGAGAGCAGAGGCACCTCCAACACTGCCATGTTGGAGGAGCCGGTTTGAAGCCATCTACAGGCACACGTGAAGACAACATGTACAGCGATGTACACAACTATGCTGCAGGATTGAACCCGCAAATGAAACCATATTATGCAGGTAAAGGTGCATCCTTTGCAGATTCTTCCTCACTCTGCTGCAAAAGAAGGTGCCTTCGTTCGAGGGAGCTCTAGGTGTTTTGACCTACTCTTCCATGCTTATTTTTTTTAATCTCTGTAAAAGCTTGCAAAACGGTTATGAGCGGAAATACGTATTTACCTGCAATCGTACTTTAAAGTTAAGCAATGGTACGATTCCACTAATCCAGTACAGGGCTCGACACCAATAATTATTTCCAGTGCAACCGCGAGTCATAATAGCTGGGCGTGGTGATGCACGCCTGGAATCCAGCACTCTTACAGGCGGGGTTTGTGAATCATGCAAATGTTGTCATGTGCAGCAGACACCAAGCTGAACGAACTCGATGAGCGCACGTTTGAGTTTTACCACCTTATATGCACACATTTTTATTCGGATAGTGTGTTCCGGTTTTTTCCTGAGGTGCAACAGTACTCATTGAGAAAACGGTCGGCAGTTGTGCCGCATGGCTCTCCAATGTGTCCACCTACGGGCCACCCCGCCGCTTGTTGTTTGGCACCGTGTCCGGATAAAATCTAATTATTCCCGAAGAAGCGCTCAGAACGTGGGGCAACGCACATCTAAACATCATCCCAAACGACGCACGGTACAAACCCGAAAACACACTGGCGAACCCCAAAGCTTGACCCTACCAAACAGTCTTGAGCCGAACATTCACACTTTCCCAGATAATTAAAAGACAATCATAACGACGACGACGACGACGACGCACTGACCTGGCGCACACCTCCAGTGTGACCTTGTACTCCTTGCTGTCGTGATGCGCCGCCGGGTCATCATCGTCGTTGTCGCTGCTACTGCTGGCGCTGCCAGGGTGGGGCAGTGGCAGCGGTGGCGGGTGGCGGCGCGAGTGTGGCCGCTCTGAGCGGTTGTCCTGGATCTGGTCGAGGGAGCTGGGGGCTCGGGTGCTACGTGGCTCTGTGAGCTCCACCGTGAGCTGAAAGGCCGGCTTTGCGGCCGGATCGGGCACGTTGTACGACACGTCGATCTGCGGAAACATTTCAGCGTAGCGTCTTTCAGCGCGGCGGCATCTATCGGTGCTGTCTGGTTTTTTGTTGTACATTTTTATATCCATTTTATACCGATTGTGCGATCAGCATAACAGCGCGAGACGAAGTATCCATTCATAACTTTGCAGAGAAGTGCAACCCTTCGTATTAGAAACCAGCCGATGGAAGTGGATATCACAGAGCTACCTCTGAGATCCGTTCCAGTGATCTCTGCGGTGCACACAGCAGATGGCAGCGATTTAACACCCACTCATCATATGAGAGTAATGTTTGTCGCAAGAAGGTCAAACCGATATTACATTCTCAGAGCTGGAATGTAGCCAAAGTAAGCGAAGAACAGACATGTAATATGACAGGTTTTTGTTGTTTTGCACAGTCATTGGTGACACAGGGTTCACACCATCAACAGTGCAGCTTTAACGCGCGGTTTTGTGATATTGTGTAGAAATCTGTATGGTCATCATTCACGACTGTGCGGTTTGTACCTGCATGAGGCAGCAGCCTTCCCCCTTTGCGCTGACAAACAACCCGGTTGGGATGCTTGGGATCTGAAAGTAACGTGCCAAATCGGCGACTTGGTTTGAAACAAAACATTTTGTGACACTGCGTTAGTAATGGTGCACCGTGTACAAAGAGGAAAGCTCACGTAAAAATACGTCTAATCTTTACTCTTTATTGCCGACCGTGTGGAAAGTTTCAACGATGAGAAGGAGGTTTCAGAAAACCAACTATGAAAACAAAAATTATTGTGAACGTGCAATCGAGGACTGGGGCTTTGTGCACAGCTGACCGTTGCAGTCTGCAAGATCTTCTTGTTGTCTTTGTTGAGCTCAAACGATTCCTGGAAGTCCAGGTTTGTGGAGGCCAGCGAGATGGTGAGGTTTACACCACCGATGTAAGACAAGATGGCGTACTCGGAGAGAGACTGAAGAGCCACGCACGTGTCCTGCAAAATATTTCATCGCCTTAAGGAAAACCGAAGGAAATCGACTCACACTGATTAATAAATGCTTATTTCTGAAGTGTCTCGTCTTGCGTATGGCTACGTTAAGTCGAATGGAAGTGAGTCAGAGAAATCCGATGAGCTATGAGGCTCTTTTTCACAGAATATTTGGGGTCACGCTATTCGGCCAGTTGATGGCGTTCTTGGAAGGCGAGTGTATTTCAGCTTATATCACACCAGTGTAATGTGTTGCTTATATAGTTGCTATGCTTACATAAGGTGTGCTTATATCCGGCTCCTACTTTATATGGTACTACCACTCCAGGCAAGGAAACACTTCAGGAAGTGTATATATTTTGCCTGTTTATATTTTATAACAGGGTTACTAAACAAATAATCTTATTCATAGTCAAATAAACGTGGGTGATGGCCCACCTCGACTGTTGACTTTAACAAATCCGCATTCCAATGGCAGCGGGCAGTCTCTCCACAAAACAATGACTTTTGACTGTCCACAAAGTGGCACGCATTTAATTCACCCTAATGGCTGCTTGGCTGAGTTAACCACAACCAGAAAATTAACTTGAGACTTTCCCCGGTTGTAAGTTCAAGACGGTTCCACAATTCCACCTACCTTTTCAAATCTTAATTGCAAAATAATTGTCTAATGTATCAGATTTTAACCCGTGGGGTGGTGCCCCCAAGCCTTTCCGTGGCGGGGGGGGGGCAGAGGCTATGGCATGGATGTACGAATGTATGTTGAACTTATATTGCACCGTACGTAGCCAACCGTGCTAATCGGAGGTGCCGTTTTGAGGACACCAACACGCTCTAAAACACAGCATGCCTTACTAACACCACATTGACTGGAGGCATGGTCATGTGACCTCTCTGTATTGTGGCCTAAGTAACCTAAGTCGTGTTTTGGGGGGGCTGGGCTGGGGAGGAGGGACTAATGTTCTTGATTGTGGGGCGGGGGGGGGGGCCTCCATACCAAGAAAAAGTTGAGAACCACCAGTCTAACGTAAGACCGTAGCCTCCCCTCCACCACTCACCTGCGTTGACGAGAACCCACCCTGGGCATTCCTCTGCTGAGAGAGCCACTTTACGATGGGAAGGGCTGTGGCCACGTCTCCGAGTGCCGTGTACGTGAGCAGCGCGTACGCGGTCATCTCCACCTCGGCGGACACCACTAAGCGGGCGCGGCGTGGGAAGGGACCGCACGGCACGCACACAAACAGGACATGCAACGTGACCACCGTGGAGCGTCGTACAACGGCCAGGGCTCCGTGTGAAACAAACACGAGCGGTGGCGCGGCGAACGATCGTACCGGATTGCGAGAGCCCGTCGCTAAATCCCATGAACGTGTCGTCGTTTGTGACGGTTGTGCCTGACAGACTCCAGTGTTTCAACCCATCTGCCAGAAAAAGGAAAAGAGAGAGAGAGAGAGAGAAAAAAGTTTGTTTTTAAATCGTTTTAATAAACGCATCACCGCTTATTGTTCATTACTTGAAAAAGTCATGATTGCTCATGTTTATTCTCATCATCACCATGCACGTAGCAATTCACCTCCCTCACAGTTAAATCAGAATCTTGATTTAGACTGGAGGAATTCGATGAGCTATAAAAGCTCTTTATTCACAGATGCCTAATGCGGACGGTTTACGATTAGGCTTAAGAATCACCTCTTTATTATTTCAACAATGCGGAGACAGTAGCACATCCAGCGTTAGCAGGGTTTACACGTACCCATCGCAAACATACCAATGTCAGACCTCTCTCGCGGCCTCACGATGTAACGCATTGCATGCGAATTCACACACATCGGTCCTTACGCGCACGCTCGATGCACATTTGCCGATCGTGAGTTGAGCGACGTGACTACGGCGGAAGGAGGGAGTTGTGGACCGAGGACGAAGTCACCTTGCGTGATGGCCACGTTGTTGAGACGGCGGAGAGCCACGGGGGCGTAGGAGCTGTGCAGTAACGTGAGGGCGTAGGCTGAGAGGGCAGTGGTGTACGGGTCTTCAGCCGAGTACATGTTGCTCTCGAGGAACATCTTAGCCCTTGCCACCGCCGTCTTCTCGCCCTGCAAGCAGATGTGTGCGTGCATGCACGTACATTGAACTTATATCACAACACCGTGCGTGTCAAGTCGTGTGAATCGGAGGTGCGGGGGAGGGGGGGGAAGGACAACAAAACTATTTTTTGATTTAAAGCTTTCGGGACTGCAGAAATTCATATTCTTAATTCTCACGACGTTTCGACCATAACGTCGAAACGTCGCGAGAATTTGTATTGCTTTATATATATTTTATTACTTTATTGTTTCCCTTCAACGTGACTTTACCGAAAGAGCTAAGAATAACAAAACTATTATTATGGTGGGGGCACAGTGGGGGGGGCGGGGGGGGGGGTGCGCAGCCTGTCTTTAAAATGAAAATTTTTGTTGACGTATCGCGAAGCGGCACTAGGTCACTTGGTCTATCGGCCGTGGAGGGATGATGGCGTGAGCGCTCGCCTCGTTGTCGGTGCCGGTCTCCATGAGAGCTGCGAGCACGTACGCCGTCAGGGAGATCTTACCGTGGATGCCGCCCTGCAAGGACGACAGACAACAAGGGATGAACAAGGATCTTCCTGTTCGCAGACAAACAGAAGCGACGTAATACGTGATCGCTCAACTGTGTGTGTGTGTGTGTGTATTAGCTACTAACCCGTGTGCTTAATACTAGAATGCATAAGTATCACCGTTAATATGCCCTCACAATTTTGGTGCATTTTTTTTTTTTACAATTATGGCTATCGCCTGATGATGCTGGTCATACTCAAATTGTAAATGTTGTGGGTTTGCTCTCTAATACACCGGTGTGTTGACGTATTAACTAATTGGCCCATCTTGTTCACGTGACAAACCTTACTAATTGGCTGTGTCGGGTGGAGGTGAGTCTACGACACATTCACGGGATTTAGCCCAAAAGACGTTATCACGAATAATTGTTACAAGTTCACAAATCACCATGACAACCTCAGATCTCTTTACCCACCATCATGAAACATCCCGTTATACTACCAGGATAGCAAACTAAAATCTTGAGCCCTCACCCCACCCCCAACCCCCCCCCCCCCAAAAAAAAAAACCTGGATATCTTTGTTGAGGATGCGGCCCACGGCTGGAAAAGAGCCATCCTCTTTCTGATGGTTGATGATCCAGGCCTTGGCTGCTGCAAGCTCCTTGGGGTCGATGTAAATGAAGGCTCGCGACTGGGCAAACGACTTCAGCACGAACGCCGTCAGCCTGTTGATCGGAGAACCAAAATCAACTTTGATAATAGTAGGGAGCGGGAAGAAGTAGAAGGAGGCAACTCTTTGTGAGGTTCACAGTTAAAGCCGAGGCACATTCGACAGGTGCCACACTGGCCGCCTAGAATCGTGTGACGATAATGCTCGAGAGCAGATTATCGTTTCGGGTTGTGCGATTTTAGTTCGGGCACGATGTTTTCTTTTCGAGGAACCAAAATACGAGTTATGCGAAGAAGCTCCGAGCGCACGGAGCGAAACGTCGGACGTCGTTCCGGTCCAAAGCGGCGCGCCGCAACAGCCGCGAAACACAGTGCAGTAGTGTTGCCGCACGACCCCCGTGGAAACCTCTGCAGCAGGGATAATTATTTGTTTTAAATTGGTGATTTAAAATAAATCTCGAATGTTTGACAAGGTAACAGATACATTTTTAGCCACAGCTGTTACTGGATCTGTAACAAAAAAAAAATACAACCTAGGAAATATGATAATAATGATTATTATAATTTATAATGATTATTATCATTGCTGCAGGGAAAATATCCATTTGATTTCCCAACAGGCGACTAATGCTAAAAGTATCCTTGTTGTTTATTTCGTAACCAAGGATACGCTCACACTCGCCTATACGGGGTGCCCATGAATGTATCATCCATCATGAAAGATTTACACGGCAAATTTAACTGCGTGGTTGAAACGTTGGCAACATATTATCGCGTGAGTTGCAAGACCACATTGCGAAAACATTCAAGACGATCGCACTCAAGATGATAGCGTACGCCGGGACTTTCATGTCACCGATGCCATAGCGGACGTGTGGAAGCTTAGAGGGGTGAGACTCGTACGATCGAATCTTCATAGTAACCAAGCACGAATGTGTGCATAGCTCTTGCTGATGTCTCATCATAATTCTGGGTAATGGATGGTAGCAACCTTCACGCAGTTCCATCCTTTTAAGAAGCATGTGATCCTCACTGTCTCAACGATCACTTTGCATGTGAACCAATGCCATCACTGCGGAGACCCAATGTCGTTCATCGATCTCTTGGTCAGAACAGGAACCCTAACTCAACACGACATCATCATCATCATCGCAATTCTTTACGAGCGGATGATAACATTACTGGCGCCCATGCACGTTTGCTATTAGCCGGCTACGGAAGGACGAATGTGTAATCCCGGCATCGTGAATTCACAATTAAGAGTGCGGCTGTGGTAATGATGGCTTCGTGCCCTGGAGAGTGGAGAAATCTCCGCGGAAGAGCCCCGGGACTTAATCGGCGGAAACGTTTACACAATGCGTCCGATGAGCTCAGCTGTGCCACAATGGCCCTGAAGACCCCGGGATTTTAATCCTGCCCCTGCTGATTCCAATTATACAGCGCTCGGGATGGAGCACAGCTCAACCAACTCCAGAGCGTGCACAGCAGCAGCAGAAGCAGCAGCAGAAGCAGCAGCAGCAGCAGCAGCAGAAGCAGCAGCAGCAGCAGCAGCAGAAGCAGCAGCAGCAGCAGAGCCTGAAACAGCGCGAGTTTTGTAGAACATGAAAAATAACATCGGCAGAACATTTCAGGGGAGAGGAAATTTAATTTGCAGCCACTTTGAAAATATTGCACTTTTTTAACTATTATTATGGCTTTAGAATTGTCGCAGTCGTTGTTACGCTGGTTTTCACATATCTGATCGAGGTAGAATCTATGCTGCTCAGTTCAGTTTCTGAAAAGGCCCCCCCATCAGCTGCAGCGAAACGTCGGACATCAAGCCGGACACCGTGGCACAACCTGAAAACACGTTGGAGGGATGTACAGCACAACGACAAATACCCACGCAGCAGTAGTAAACATATGTAAATCGCTAAACGCTGTGGCTAGCACCTATGTATCTTAATCACAGTAAAAGCAAAGAGGTGTTTACTAGAGAAAGCAGACACATCAAACTAGATTCGAAGTTTTCGTGACTGCAGGAATTACTCTTTGGTTCTTTCGGTAAAGTCACGTAGGAAATAAAATCGATATTTTACCACAGTGTTTTGCTGGAGCAGCAGATTAAAATTCTCTTAAAGAGATTTGGATGCCATCCACCGCTGAATCAAGAAAATATATCAGAAAAAAATAACATCGTGGCAGCGTCGTAAGATTTTGCCTCATCTAGCTGTAATATGCCTATAAACATGCTTGCCTTTACCACATAAAGAAATCGTGTTGTAGAAGTTGTATGAATTGGTTTTGTGGCCAGGATGCTTCTGAAAAAGAGCTGTATAGCTCAGTGGGCCTTACCTGGTAAAATAAAAAAAATAGTTTAATTCATCTTCTTGGTTCTTTCGGTAAAGTCAGCCTTAAACATCTGCTCACCCTGTGGGTTCAACTTTCTCCAAACATTGACAAGCCACAGTGGCAGATTGAACCATTTGTGCATAAATGCCTGAAAATGAAAAACATTTGAGAAAGAAAAAAACATAATTCTGGACGTGTTAAGTTTAAGCTTTTGCGGGGGTTTTTTTTTCAGCAGTGTTGAAAACGTGTGCAGCCATTGCAGTTAAATGAGCCGTGCATTTAGAGCCCGTAAAAATAGTGCCCGTGCTCTGGCTCCTCCGCTTCTTTGGCTCGAAGGCGTCGCAGCGGCAGCAGAGCTGGGTTCAGGCTGATGTCGGGGGAAATGGTCTTAACGCCAGAGGCGATGGGGTTAAGCACCCACGGGGTTGTGGAGAGAGAAGGTGGGGAGCAGGGCAGGCACGTGGGCAGAAAAAAGCAACCATGACTCACCACATGCTCCCCGATGAATCGCGCTCTCCGAAGGCGCTGTAAGAACCATCTTGCCGCTTGTATGTCAGCTGGCGCTGATAGCCTGCGATGCACCGTGCCAGCAAAATCACATAAACTTTGTCCCCCAACGGCGCCGTATAACTTTGCATTGACGCTAACTGCTTAAACACACTTGCGTTGTTGCCATTAATGGCGATGCAGATAAAACATAACGTTTATGTACGCGGGTATCTAATCGTCGCCTCAGCAAACGGCTGACTCGACTGTTGTGCGTGAAGGATTGGGGGGCCAAGTGTACGAGCCAAGAATCGAAGCTGTAACCATACAAACTCAAATCTGCCTGGCTCTGTCTTGATGTTTGACTCCAAGAGAGCCGTTCTGAATACTCACAGGCCAAAGCGTATGGAGTGTGGATGAGTTTTTGGATTTAAATATTGTCATTCTGGATTTTTAAGGACAATTTCAGATATTTTTTTTCTGAAGTTCAGATCATGTACATCATTTCATAATTTAACGAGTGCCTTAGCGCAAGCAAAATTGACGTCACCCGATGCTACGCAACATCACTTGCGGTGGGAAAACGCACGGAGGTGATGTCATGTAAGTTTTGTTTTGGTTCACATGTATTTATCCCCATAAAAAGCCTCAGTGAGTTTACAATACTCTTTTTCAACAGGGTCCAATTAAGTTTCCCAGTTGTCTTCCTAATTGAGTAATTCGCGGTCATTCAAATTTGACAAATGTGGGCCATGCCACCAACACACATGGCACCCGATGCATTGACCATGGCAGCCACGTGGGGGGGGGGGGGGTGGTCGAACCACGAACCTTCGCAGCAGACACGCTCCTGTCTCGCTCATTGCACCGTCGTTTGTTAGTTTTTGTAACAATTTTCGGACCAATTCCGAAACTGCTTTCTCATGATCGTCCGACATTTCCCTTTCTAGGCTTGATTACCGGCATGTTTAGGATTAGCCCGAAACATTGAGGCACATCCCGTCCCTCAGAATGCCCACCCCCGCAGTGCCCACCATAATAATTAAGATTTAATTTAATTTCCGCCATGTTAAAATTATTCGTATGTCCACAACCCACTGCGACGACAGAGGCTGCTTTCAATTGATACATTTTTTGCCGGCTCCGTTGCTTTTTTTCCTCCTCCTGGAGGCAGGCTGAAGGCACGCCAAGGGAGCGCACGTACGGGGAACATTCTTCCGCCCCAACTGGTGGGCATTGAACAGACCGCCGTTAAAGCTCATGTCGCATTGGAACGTGAGAGAGGGCTCGCTGTTGGAAACGTGCAAAGAGTGACCAACCCTGGAGCAGGTAGTCGGTGGCCTCGGTCCGAACGTCGGCGACGAGTTGCTTGGTCTGCTGCAGGTACTTGAGGACGAAGACGTTCGGAGCAAAATGAATCATGTTCTGCTCTCCGCAGCCAAAGGGCAACTTGAGGAGGTTGTCCAGGTTGTTGAGCGTGGGGCCCATCACGTCACCTGGTTTGATGCGTGACACGCGCACGGCGTATGTTGATGCCAGCAAGCGAGCGCGTGAGCGTGTGTGCGTGCGTGCGTGGGAAGGAGGCAGTGGGAGTAAAGTGTTTTTAGCGAGCACCAATTAAGGCCTGGAGGTGGTGTGTTCAGAAGCAAGAACAGCCAACTTTATCTTCCCATAGCTGGTGTTTTTATGCATGTATGTAGAACATCCTTCGCACAGTATGTAGCTGTCCGTGATAATCGGATTATGCGGAAGAAAAAAACGGATGCGGAGACAACTCCACGTGACCACTGGGAGAGAGAAAACACGCAAACTCCAAATATACAGGCGTCGTCAGGGTCGGGATCGAATCCACGACCTCCTGCATACCAGGCGAGGTAGTTAACATCTCGCCAACGCGGCACCCCTGTCGTAAGACGACAGCCAAAGAAGACCAGGTCTGGTGTTCGTTGTTGCCGTGTTTACCAATCATCGAGGCGGTGGCTCTCTCGGAGCCCGGCACGACGGAGTGCGGCACGGCGAGTGTGAACGCCTCGTTGTGGTTCCCGTCCGACTCCTCCTTTCGCCAGATTTTGAACTCGCCCAGGGAGCCCCAGCCCGTCGAGAGACCCACATGGTTCACTCGCAGCGGACGGGGAGCCTGCCAGCGCACCATCACCGTCTCGGGTGATGGCACCTGCCCACGGCCAACCTGCGTGACGACGTGACAGCAGCGAGGAGAGGTCGGCGGAAGAGAGCGGGAGCGCCGGGAATTATGTTACATTGTGATGCTGCGTTGGCAGTGGTGCACAAACAATGAGTAATATAACTTCACCACGTTAGTCAATAAAATTATGGTCCTAAACAGTGAATATATGTAACATAGAATGTGAAATTTCAGGTAACAGCCAGTATTCATCGTAAAGATAATGTTAATTTATTTTTTGATATATCAGGATTATACGGTGACTTTAAGCTGATTTTTATGAACAGCAAAGACGTTGGCTCTAAACCTGAATAATTTTTCCATCCTTAAATTCTGCATCCTTAAAATCTCAATGCCTCTGTCCTGCATAAATTTTCTGTTGTCATGCGTTTTCTCATCATTCGCACATGCAAATGATCGTTGCCTTTCGGCAAACACCATCGTGTAAAGCCAAGTCTGCTCCATATATGGAGCTCACAGAGACGCGTGGCAGCAGGGACCATTGATGACTGTACTGTGCTGAGGAGCTCTGATGTGGGCAAAACCTGCGTACAGTTGCATCCAAGTTTCACTGCTGCCATTTCTTTTTTGAGCTGGTGTTCTGGATAAGGCCGAGAGCTATTGTACACACAATGCTGCACGACCTTGATGAGTTCATATGCCTATTCTCCGTCCTGCTACACCCGTGCTATTGCAGAAACAGGCGAATACAGAAATATTCTGCGCGTGACTTCTGAATCACGCCAACCCATGGAACGGAAAACAAAACCACCCCAGAGTTTCAGTTTGTTTGTTTCGGTCAGATTTTTCTTGCTTAAACAATGCAGTTGTATAACATTGATCTGGAAAGCCAATAGCGACACGGGGCTAAATGTATATTTGAATTTATATGCGGAGATAAACTAAAACTGAATTAAACTATTTTTATTTTACCAGGTAAGGCCCACTGAGCTATACAGCTCTTGTTCAGAAGCATCCTGGCCACAAATGATAGCTCAACGAAGTGGCTTATCATGTGGAAATTTAAAGCAGCCAAATAATCTAAATGCATGCTTCTATGGAGGAAAATTCACGCGACCATGGGCAGAGAGAGAACACGCAAATTCCAAATATGCAGCAGGCCTCAGGGTCGGGCTCGAACCCACGACCTCCTGCATACCAGGCAAGGGAGTTAACATCTCGTCACCAGGGGCACCCCCTGCCCTCGTACGCTCTCACCTGCACCAGGCCGTCAGCCCAGCTGACCCAAAATGTGCGGAATTCGTCCCAGGAGAGGAGGTCGGGGGTCGCGGCAGAGGCGAGCGCCGGGCCGGAGCGCCCCACGGCGATCCAGCTGCGGGTGTTGTGCTGCCCCCCGAGCACGAGCTCCAGCATGTCGGGCGAGTCGGCGTGCGTCGGCGCCAGCGCCAGCCGCGCGTCGTTGTGCGCCTTCACGGCCAGCGCGAAGTGGGTGATGCGTGCCGGCTTCTGCACGTACTGGTACTCGTACTTGTTGGGCGTCGAGATGTGGATGCGCTCTGGAGCCGGGAATGGACGGCCAAAAGCAAATGTGAGCTGACGATGGATTTTTACTTTTGTATTTTTAAAAAAACTATGTTTTTTTTTTTACGAGATAAGGCCCACTGAGCTGTATAGCTCTTGTTCAGAAGCAATCTGGCTGCAGTGAAGTGGCTTATCACGTGGACATTTATAGCGGACAAACACTCTAAACGCGTGATGTTGATTCTAAAATGTGGAGGGAAAAACCGGAGGACACGGAGAAAAATCCACGCTACCATGGAGAGAGAGAGACATGCAATCTCCAAATATACAGGCATCAGTGTTGGGATCGAACCCATGACTTTCTGTATACCAAGCAAGGTAGTTAACATTTCACCACAACAGTACCCTAAAATGTGTTTTTTTCAGCAAAAGTCAGTCGGTGTCCATTGATGTATCCAGGAGATTATATAAAACCCCATTGATGCACAAGAAACAACATTGTTTCATTCGCAAAAGGCCCGGGTTACATAAAGCCATTTCAAATACACAGAATATTTATTTTAAATGTTTAAAATACAAAGATGTTAATATGTTCGTGAATCGCACTGCGCTACATGACGTTTTGAGCAATGGTCCATCTTCATCTCTCTCCCTAATATATGTGTTCCATTTAGAGCAGTGTTATTGATGAAATGTGGTGAAGATTTTTTTTTATTTGTGCATCCAACGTAATTTATTTTCGTAACAATAATAATGGCACGTACATTCTGTATTAATGCTGTTCTAATAGCACGGAGGCTATCACGAAGGTGCTAAGCTTATGTCTTTGTAAGCTTCACGGAACATTTCCAACTACGAGCCCTCTCCACGCTCCAATGCAACATCTCAAAGGCGATCCGATGAATGCTCACCGTTGGGACAGAAGAATACGCTGTATGTGTACTCCCTTGGCATGCCTTCAGCCTGCATTCAGGAAGAGAAAATCAACAGAACCAGCCAAATATAAATTTAAACCAGGCTCTGTGGTAGCGGCGGGTTGTGGACATACTGATAATATTAACATGGTTGAAATTGAATTTAATAAAATTATCATGGTGAGGAAGTAGTACAAATTTAATGGACGTTAACTTAATATAACTTTTATTTTATGAGAAAATCCAAAAAGAATTTTGTCAAGGACGTATAACAATTGGTTCTGAAAGCGAAAAAGGTTCCAGGCCAAATAAGCCCAATAAAAATCAAAATGCACATTTGAGAAATTCCCCCGTGCTTCTGTGTTGAACCACGTGTTGTTTAGCATGGTGTCCAACGTTTCTCTCCACGTGCTGGGAGCTCTTTCACTTGGAGATAAGCGTCAGACATCAGGCCCAACAACACATGGCACAACCCGAAAACGCATCGGAGAGCTGTGCAGCACGACCTTGAAAACCAACTCAGCCATATAAAACCTTAAACTCGATTCTGAATCGCACAGGTAGCCAGTGCGATAACTTAACTGTAATAACCGTCATGCGTTGCGATCTTTGCGTGCGACGCGAGGCGTCATTGTGGCGAGATATTAACTACCTCGCCTGGTGTACAGGAGGTCGTGGGTTTTATCTCGACAATGACAATGCCTGTATATTTGGAGTTTGCATGTTCTGCTCATGGTCACGTGGACTTTTCTCCGGGTCATCCAGTTATTCCCTCCACGTTTAGAAAGTACTTGGCTGCTATAAATTTCCACATGATAAGCCACTTCGTTGAGTGATAATTTGTCACCATATCGCTTCTGAAAAGAGCTATATAGCTCAGTGGGTCTTAACTGGTAAAATAAAAAATAGTTTGAAATAATTTAGTTCAGTGTTCTTCACTAGTTTTCAGAGGGTGGCCACTTTCGCCGATAAGACATCAGTGTGAGAGCCGATACACATTTAAAGCCATTGGGTTTGACAATGCACAAAAATGCGTTTTCACATTTTGTGTATTGTCAGGGGGGCCGCACGTCAGGGGCCGCACTAAAGGCCACTAGGGGCCGCCAGTGGCCCGCGGGCCTTGCAATGAAGAACACTGGTTTATATTCTTGGTTCTTTCGGTAAAGTCACGTGGAAGGGAAACAATAAAATAATAAAAAAAATATATACTTTTTATTATTATTTTATTGTTTCCCTTCTACGTGGTGACTTGACCGAAAGAACCAAGAATATGAATCCCTGCAGTCGCGAAAGCTTTAAATCATAAACACTGGTTTAGTTCGTGTGGTGGTGGTGCTGCGGTGCGCACCTCCACCAAGACGCTGCGCATGATGTAGTCGAGGCCCATGGGCGTTCGTCGCTCAGGAGCCACCTCCTCCACGTACTTGGCGCCCTTGAGCGTCTGCGCCCCCTCGTCGCAGCAGCTCGCCTCGCCGTACGCAAACGCTCGCGCTGCAGGCCGGCGAACAAACAGGCATTACAATACAAATGCAACCGATTACAAAAAATATATATATATAAAAGGCAACGTTTCAGGCAGTGGCCCTTTTTCATGGCACGTATTTTTTTTGGTTCATTGTGCTCGTACACCACTGTCACCGCAAGATCACCGAATAACCTATTGTTACAACGAATAGGTCAGTTTGAATGCACGTATGTTCCGGAACACCTTTTGTTTAATGTACTAGCTATATGTAACGTGTAGACACCTGTGATGTTAGTCTGTCCCAGCTCAGCAAAGGAGAGCACCAGTGACGTTGTCTTGGTTTCGTCGGCCTCCACGCACATCTTGCGGGTCAGATGCTGCTTCCCGTGGTGGCCCACAAACTTGACACCCTTGGGGACGGTCACCTTTACGTGCACCTGCATTATTGACAAGCCAACAACAAAAGCGGTCACCAAACATCAGCCCTGATCTCATCAACTGCTGGACGAAGGCCTCCTCCTCGCGCTGACGCCACCTGTCCGGCACAAGGACTGATCGCATCGCTCCATCTCCACAGTGGTCATCCTCTCAGGCGAGTCCCATTGTATGGCTGCCCTTCCATTACCAGTCTCGTCCATCGGCCGTTATCCGCTTTAGAGATGCCCTGCTCAAGCCAACTTACTTTCTAAACCTCATATTCCTCTTTCTGTCGCTCAGTGTACTGTACTTCCCAGCACGCATCTCTGTACGTTTACTTGTGTTCTTTTCACGAAAATGTATTCAAACATAATAACCGTACAGTTAAAATTGTCACCCTTTTGTTTTCTATAAGGCTATTGACGTAAAATAGTTAAAACCATTTTGAAGCGGTGACGTTCCATCCAGTTTTATAGTCAGCATGTGTGTGTGGAGAAAAGAAAATGGGAAGAAGCCACATTCTGTGATGATTTGCCATCTTTTTAATCAGGTGAGAGCCAATTTAAATGAATTAAATCTTGCAAACAGCAGGAAAGATTTCGCTAGGAACTGAAGGTTTCACAACTGTCATTAACATTACAAATACAATTTTTTGTTACGTTAAATTATTTATTTCACATTATGGCAATGATAAAATTTTAAACTGACACAATCTTTTACGACTTAAATGTATAAACTGTGGTAATTAAAATACTGGCTGTGTCAGTTGATGGCATCTTCTGCCGCCTTTGCTCTCCGCCCTTCGTCAATCTACTGCTGGATGAAAGCCTCCTCACGCCGTAACATTTGTGCAAGTTCCTTGACCATACTTCACCACAGTGGTCAGTTCGCGCTGTTAAAGTGGGGGGGGGGGGGGACATTCAGAACTTGTTCAGATGTCACTCCCCGCCGATGTTACCCACAGCTGGGAATCGAAACCACAGCTTCAGGTGAATGCACGCGTTCATCGATGAGGGGAGGAACGCTGCAGGCTCAGCGCTAACGACGATCGATGCTCACCTCGGCGCAGAGGGGCATGTAGTTGTGGACGGTGAGCGGCACCTTGGCCTGCTCGCCGCGGATGAGCGCGTACGGGAGCGTGAAGTCCACGAAGAAGGGCTTAAATGTGCGCAGGGAACGGGCGGGCGCCAGGCCCAGACCCTGCGCTGGAGAAATGGCGAGGGCCTCGGCCACCCAGCTGGTGATCGAGTCCGGCACCTCCACCTGCAGCCGTGCCTCCCCCGTCGCCGCGCTGGGCAAGGTGAGCAAGGTGAACAAGGTGGGCAAGGTGAACAAGGTGAGCAAGGTGAACAAGGTGAGCAAGGTGAACAAGGTGAGCAAGGTGAACAAGGTGAACAAGGTGAGCAAGGTGAACAAGGTCAGCAAGGGCAGGGGCGGGGGTGGGTGGAGGCTCACGATTGCTGGCACTGTGATTCGCGATCGTTGCGTCTCGCGATTTCTGCTCTAACCGTGACGACGCTGTCCTAGCTCTCCGATGTGTTTTCGGGTTGTACCGCGTGCGTTGTGCGCGGCATGATGTCGTTCAACTTGCCGGGAGCATCTTTAGGGAACTGGAGCTGAAGAAGCTTCAAAACGCTTGCGGTGAAATGTCGGATATCATGCCGAACAACCCTCGGTAACAACCCGAAAATAAACAGCATAATCTTGATTTGAAGCTTTCGTGACTGCAGGAATCCATACTCTCTAGTTCTTTCAGTAAAGTCACGTAGGTAGAAAAAATAAACAGCACAACACACAAATAAAACCGACGCGGTAACACTGTCACCCTTATGAAAGCAAATTGCCCTCTAGTAATGGTTTTTCCACTGCAAAATAAAGTGCCGTGTCGTGTTTAGAATCATGCCTTGTGAGTTTTTCAGTTTGAAAAAAATACATAAATGTTAGGTCAAGTATTACAAATTGGAATGACAGGTTTTTTTGTACTTTTAACAGTTCACATTTCAAATGACAACATTGTATATGTATTGATATAAAACGCAGTTATTAGAGTAGTCAGTTCTTTGACTTTTTTTTTATTCCCCCCCACCACCACCACCCCGTGCGATCTGGTCTTGCAAAATTTCCGTTACCTGGTGTTGAAGCAGTGCCAGATCCAGGTCTCGGGGAAAAACGTTCGCTTTCGTTTATCAGCCCTGCCAACGAAAGCGGCGCACTGCTGTAAAAGTGGCGATTCACCGCACGGTGCCACAGCACAACAGCTGCTGCAAGGCTGTACGCTCGCACTCCACAGGAACGCCCCGCAGTGTTAACCTACAGCGTTTCCTGCCGAAGTAGATTCAACTCGCGCGTTCCACGCAAGGACAAATGCTCTCGGGATCAGGTTGCACGGTCGCACCAAAGACACGCCAAGGTCCTCTACAGTGTGAGCGAAACTTACAATCTATTGGGGCAGCACGTAATAGTGACGGGACCGTTATGGAAACTGTGTGAACAGAAGCAATGATGTGATCGCAATTAATAAGCGGCAATACGGTATCCCGTATCGTGAACATTTTTTTAACTGACACGTACGTGTATGTATATTGAACTTCTTTCGCACTGTACATCGCCGACCGTGCTGATCGGAGGTGCTCGGGAAGGACAACAAATCTGTACTGTGCACGGAAATTATTCCCAAAGTGACTAAATTGCAATGTGCTAAATGAAAACGATCAAGGTATCGTCAGTTCCCACCCCCCCCCCGCCTCCCTAATCTCTTCCACGAATTACCGCCACAGCGCCGACCTCAGTTTTCCACTTTAGTCGTGGCTGCACGACGCGACGAAGACCGTCGCAGTTCTCCGCGGGGTACGAAAGGCGACGGTCCGCGTACCTGGAGGCCGCGCGGCCGTGTGCGGTGGCAGAGAAGAAGGCGCCGGTGTGCGGCTGGAAGGCGGGCCCGGCCTCCTCCGTGAACATGCCGCCATTCTGCCGGTGGTTGAGCCTCACGATGTCCGTCATGACCGTCAGACCGGCCTCCTGCGTGCCAGAGGAGTGGGTGGTTGCGGGACGTGAGCCGGCCTCTGTTCCCCCCGCTCGCACAACCGTTTCGAACGCCGCTGTGGTTTTTGGGAAAGCTGCGCCTGCTGCATCGCTGTCCCGAGCCATTTCATTGAGTTCTTCTTATTATTATGATGATGATGATATGATCATGGAAATTATTTACTCGGTTAAAAGCCTGAGTCTCGGTGCTCGCCTTTCGGGAGGGTCCTGCGTTGGTTGATAATATGAACGCGGCTTTGGGTTCTTGTGGGAGGACAATTTGAGTTCACGGGAGAAAACCCACACTTGTTGGGAGATGATATTCAACACTGCCAGTCCTGGCCACCTTGCCTACATCTCCGAGTAAATCCTGATTGGCCGGTCACTCATCCAAAGCACTTAAACAGTCTGAGGTATGTCCAACTTGCAAAGGCCAAACCTATAACACCTGGTTTTGCCTGGGAGTCTCCCTTTTGAAATAAATATACCACGCTCAACGCTCAATGCTCAACAATGCCCAAACTGCCGCGATCTGATGTAATTGGGCGCACGCAGGGAGATGTTTCTTTTGTTTCATAAGCCACACATTTCGTGTGTGAAACAATTTAACCGGAGGCTTGATGACCTATCGACGGTGCACGCTGCGGACCACGCAGGAAGCACCTTGGCGCACTCCTGAGCACTGTGTAACAAATCAGCGGTGCGGTGGACCCACAGTGAACGCAAAGCGCGTGTCCTTGGTGATGTCCCAGTGCCAGGGGAAGATGGAGGAGCGGCGCCGACGGGAGGAGATCCCCGGCCACCAGAAGTGGCTGTCTTCCTTCGATGTGCCGTACGACTCGCTCACGTCGAACTCCGCCAGTTCCTTAAACACCTGCGGTAAGACAGATGTGAAGGTTGTAAACCCTGCTGATATTGTGGTCGTCGATTGTCTCCGTGCCATTCTTGAAATGTGTTAGCAATACTGCAACATTTTTTATTAATGGAACGGCCGCTTGCGCAACTTTGCGCCTGCAGTCAGGGACCTTTGACTGTGGCTCGTTGTGAATTGGCTTGCCCCATTTGAAACTAATGTGGAGTGTTCATGTCCACAATACAGCAATGTATTCCGGATAACACTGCTTTAATCTATTGTAGAGGATTCGCGAAGTGAAAATATATTCCCCAGCATCTATACGTCATTGTAGAATATGTAATTTGACATCACAGGCAAGATATGAAGCCCTAGACTAAATACATGAGGAGAATATATATTGTGGGCCTTACCATCGAAGAAACCGCTTTACCCGAAACAACTTTTGCGGTGATAAAAATGCGAAAATCCGTACGTTATAATGCCACTCAAAATTCATTGAGAGTATATCCGTCAGAAGTGTGCGTGGGTTTGAGAAGATCTGCACATGTCCAGCCACCTTCTCCGTGGACAGCTGGTATCCAGGCTTGAGCAAGTGAACGCTCTTGTCCACGGCGGCCACGCAAGCGCACGAGCCCTTCGCCGCTCGCACCACGATGTCCACTTTGTCTCCAGGCGATGTCTCGTTCTGCGATAACTCCAGTGAGACCTAACCAGGGAATCGCGAGAAATGCTCCATTTATTTTCCCCGATTAAACCCTATCACGTTCCGATGACGTACATGTGCATCATCAAAACGAAACCGGTAGAAAAATAAAATAACTTTATCGGTATCGAGGCTCCCACAAGGCCATGCGGGAGGGCGTGTGGCACAGTTTGTCTCCAGCTATCATAGAGTGCGGTCGTGTCGCTTCAGATCTCTCCGGTGGGTACGGTGTCTTTAAAAATAACGGCGCTATGCCTCTCTTTCTGCTTCCTCCCTTGCACCGACCAACTCTGGAATTCCCTCCCATCTTCTAAACTAAACTTTTTTTTTATTTTACTGGGCAAGGCCCACTGAGCTATACAGTTCTTTTTCATAAGCAACCTGGCCACAAATGATAGCTCAACGAAGTGGCTTATCATGTGGAAATGTATTACAGCCAAATACTCTAAACGCACGTTTCTAAATGGGGTGCGGAAAAAGCGGAGGACCCGGAGAAAAATCCACGTGACCACGGGGAGAAGATACAAACTCCAAATATAAAGCAGGCGTCAGGGTCAGGATCGAATCTGCGACCTCCTGCCTACCAGGGGAGGCAGTTAACATCTCGCCACCGCAGCGCCCTTCTGGAACCAAGGTGTTCTTTTTTTTACTCAATTCAAGAAACGTATTCACCCCTTATCTATGACAACTTCAATGGCATCCGTTTGTTTCTGGCCGTTTGGAATATTTGGGGCCTTTCGGGGGGGGGGGGGACCATGTGCTCAGCAACTGTGAAAGTAATAAATAAATAAATCCATAAACGTGCCTCGTTCTCGAAGCTGGGCTTGACGGGGATCTGCACGCTGTCGGCCACTCCCTCCCCGTTGGCGCGCACGTGGTAGACGAGCAGCCGACTGGACGGGACCATGGCGTGCGTCACGGGAATGCGCAGCCACATCTCGCACACCTTCACAGGCTCCTCCACCGCTGATTTGCCGACCGACTCTGGAACCGCGCGGGGTGGCGCATTAGCAAACAGTTGTTTTGTTAAAGCGTAATATATATTTTTACGTTTTTTTTGTAAACGAACTTAAACGACAACGACACTTTTTTTTTTTTCCCCCAGCGTATGTGGAAGATTGAGGTGCGTAATCCAGCATCAAATGATCAAATAGCCTATCTTTAATAAGTAAATAAAAAAAAACAGTACAAATTCCAGCCATTTAAAATCCACAAATGGATGAAGGCCTCCCCACACCATATTTGGATGCCGCGGTGGAGAGATGTTAACTATCTCACCAGGTATACAGAAGGTCGTGGGTTCGATCCTGACCCTGACGCCTGTATACTTGGAATTTGCGTGTTCTCCCCGTGGTCGTGAGGATTTTTTATCCAGGTCCTCTGGTTTTTCCCTCCAAGTTTAGAAACAGCATGCATTTACAATATTTGTCCGCTATAAATGTCCACGTGATAAGCCACTTAATTGTAGCCAGATTGCTTCTGAACAAGAGCTGTATAGCTCAGTGGGCCTTACCCGATCAAATACAATAAAAAGTTAAGTCTTCTAGTTTAGTTTGATATTAGTCATGGTCGTTTTTGACCATATTTCACCATTATGGCTAGTACGGGTTGGTGTTGGGGGGGGGGAGAGGAGGGCAACACCGGTTCAGATATCACCTTTAAATGAGTAAATATTAGGACCCACATTTATAAAGCCTCTCTCTAAGTCCCTTAAGTTGGGAGTCAGGGTCGTGACAGTGAAGCAGAGTGTGACGTGGCTGATTGCCATCAAACCCACGCGTTAGCTCCTGGCACTTTTACATTTTGAAAAAAAAAGCTTTCCAACTACGATCGTAGCCACATGCAACCAATGTTTGGAGAAATAAATCAAACTTGTGAACTTCACCAAATGGTTTTTCCACAAGGTTCTTATTTGTGGTCAAATTATTACTTAATGACTTTCTTAACCTTAAGAAAATTATACTATCCTTATCTACCCTGGTAAGCCTGAAACGAGTCTAAAGACTAATTTCGACGAGTGTCTTGCTTTGGGAGTTTCACCAATTTCTGATTAATTATGATTGTGTATTCTAAGAAAACACAGTACCCAGAAAAAAACAGATAAATATGACACACATACACTATCATTGGAAATTCATGCTTTGTACCATGTGGAACACAGTATATATATATTTTTACAAATACCCAACAATTATATTTTGACCATCCCTGTTGGTAACCTATAACCAAACCACCTGGAGTGGGCCTGATCTTGTCTGATCTCAGAAGCTAAGCAGGTTTTAACATGGATGGTGCTTGTATGGGCGACCACCATGCACAGATGGTAAAGGCTGCTGCAAGGCTACGCTATGGGCAGCAAAGGCCAGTGCAGCCAAATCCAATGTTGCACCGTACTATGCTCCCACACCTATGCTCCTTCTGCCTTCAACATTTCACACTGACCACGGATAGCTGCAACTCCGATTAATGGAGTGACCCAGTGAAACAGTCATATATCGGAACATGCGGTGGAGCAGCTGTGGCACCAGCGGTTAGCACACTGCGCCACAAACAGAGCGAGCAACCCGAATTCGATTTCTGGCCACAACGAACATCAGTGGCGAGCGACATCTAAACCAGTCCTGAGCCTCCCGATTCACCAAACGACACAAGACCAGCATGGTGAAGTACGGTCAAGCAAACCACCACGACCCGCACAGCGGTGGGGGAGGCCCCGTACGTATGTACGTTGAACTTCCTTCGTGCCGTACGTAACCAACCGTGCAAACCGGAGGCGAGCCTCGTCACGTGGCAGCAGATCGTCACACGCACGTGCGGGCGAAGCGGCACCGACCAGGCTGCACTCCGTACCCGCCTGCTCCTGTGACCGGTGAGTGGCGTCGGCATTCTTGTCGAAGACGAGGGCGTCCCGACGGCGGCGCGGCGGGGGGACCCGGTCCCCGGGATCGGCGCCAGCGGCGGCCGGCACGGCGGACCCCGGAGGGCTCTGCGCGCCGGACTGGACGATGTTGCCACGTGCCGCCACCTCGTAGTGCAGCGAGACGTTGCAGGGGCAAGTGGACCTGATCGCAACCTTTGCTTCCTCGCCCACCTGGTAACGTCGGTTTGCAGGGGTTTTTGTTTGTTTGTTACGATCGAGAATAACTCGGGCACGAACCACTCATTGACCTGAATGCGTGTGTGTGTGTGTATATGAATGTATGTATGTATGTCGAACTTCTTTCGCGCCGTACGTAGCCAACCATCCTAATCGGAGGTGTACAGGTGTGTACCTGTGTGAACCAGTATGTGCGTATAAATGCATGCACGCGCTTGGTTTTTTTTGCAGTATTAATCAATAACGTACTCAAAAACGTGAAATCGCCCTCTATTTATATACTACTTTAGATTTTTTTTTGTTACATCTGGCTTTTATATATTCATACAAGTAGCCTGAAGCAGGCACTACTTCTATTGCATTCGGAGTTCATGCTCGGTATTCGTCGGCTGGGCTTAGACATGCGACGGGTCGGCAGAGCGCGCGAACGAAGGTGCGTGTTGCCCCTCGATGGGACGTTTTCACCTTGAGCGGTGCGGCCGGAGGCTGGAGCTGCAGGTGACATTTGCTCGGCGAGAACCAGCCGGTGATGGACATGAAGTTGGACAGGTACTGATCGCCCACCTCTCTCCCATCGATCGCCGTCACCTTCGCCTAATGGCCACACGCACAGAACCGACCGACGCGTTGTTTTATCAGCCCCCCCCCACCCACCCCCAGAAAGCGCTCGCGCGTGTGAGAGAGGGAGAGACAGAAAAGGTCGCGCTGCCGGCATGCTTGGGCAGCTCGTGAGCCGCGCACTTTATTCTCTCTTAATCCTCACGGATTTTTGTTTAAGGATGCATTTTTACGGGGGCAAGACAGAACTAAAAAAAAAAATTCCAAATCAGCCCGGAATGCGTGCCCCAGTCTCGTCAGATATCTAAGAAGCTAAAAGGAGGATTTGAGCCTGGATAGCGCTGCGATGGGGCGACCGCCGTGCTCAAAAGACAGGTGCAGTAGGTGCTGTGGTCGGCACGGGGCGGTGCAGCACAATCCATTTGCTCTTTAGCACTGCCCCCCACCATCACTAACCTACACTGACCAGTGTGGTGAAGTACGGTAACATATCCCCCCACGGCCTGAAAAGCATGGGAGAAGTACTCGTCCAGCAGTGATTTGAGAAAATGGGCTGTATGTGTATTTTCCGTGCAATCGCTTGTGAGCATGGTTGGATATTCTATTACGGAGTAATAATATATTAAAATCGATATCACCATACAAGGTTGCTGATCACCCTGCCAATACAAAATAAGATGATAAATGTTGCTGTGGCTTGGCTCTCCAACACACCGGTATGCTGTACTAGTAACGAATTGGCATGTTCTGTTTACGTGACAACCCTTACTAGTTGGCTGTGTCGAGTGGTGGCGGGTTTTAACCACACATTTATATATTTACACGATCTAACCCAAAAAAAAACCTGTATTATGGATGATATTGGTCGTGAAAGCCTGCGTGTTAAAGATAGGAGAATATAGATTTTTAAAATGTATATGTTTGGCCTTTCGTGATGTTTACAGAAATAGGTTCAATTGTGAATCCATTACAATATTCAGGCTACTGGATCTGTTCTCATTTGAGCAATTAATTTACAGCAAGGTCGCCGTGCGTGGAAACACATTCCCAGCATGAGTGCATTTCAGCCTTTCAGGGAGAATTATTTTCACACGGTTTATTATTTTCACAGTGGACCTGAAAATTATTTTCACACTTGTCACGAGCTCTTTTTATATATGTTTATATATGTTTTCCTTTCCATCCCCCCTCCCCAATTATATCCCAATTGAGCTCTTCTCTGTTGAATGTTTTAAGAGGAACTGACAATATATTCTAACTGTATGTTGAGATTGTTCATCTATTCCATGACATCAGGAGTTGCTTGATATATAATGTACTGCATAATGGGCAGTATGTATGTATGTTTGTTTGTTGAACTTCTTTCGCACCGTACGTACCTATCCGTGCTAATAGGAGGTGCAATGATCGGTTATGTGCCCATCATACGCTTGTACAGGAGGTATTTGCATTGTCTAATGAGATGAAGACATTTATATTTGGAACTCTGCAGAAAGCGGTGTATCACCCTGTAGTGAAGAACAGCCCTAAAAGAGGACATGAGAAAACTACTTCTAAAGTAATTTCAAAAGGTCTCTTTAATCGACGCACCATTTAAGACCCCCCAAAGAGGTGTGTGTTGCATGTCAAATCAAATCAATCGCTTATACGTCCCAGCGATGGAATCTAGCCAGCAGCTCTCCCGCTATATTTTTTGACCTGATGACGATTGCTTGTGTTGCGATCGAAACGTCGTGATATTTTTATTTTATTTTTATTTTTCTATCTACGTGGCTTTACCAAAAGACGCAAAGAATATAAACATATATAACAATTGTTTGCAGTGATTGATGACTGGGATAATACCATCAACCTCCCGATGCTTGAAATTCCAGTATAGCCTTAGCCATCTGCTCCGATTCCAACCTAGGTTATCTGCGGTACCAGCTCCGACTCCCGAGCCACCAGGCCACAACCACACCACCTGTTCTCTGATAAAGCACAAAGGGCAACGCTACTGACCTCCAGCCAGACATATTGGGCCATGGTGGGTATTGAGTGGATTTGGAACGCCACGATGCCATCTCGGGACACCAGCTCACTGGTGTAGATGTTGTCCTTTGCCGCGAGCTCAGCCTTGATCCGCACAGTCACGCCATCCGCAGGGCTTCCGTCCGGATATGTGACCTCCAGCTTGAGTCGAGACATTGCAAATCATCGTTAGTTTTTAACGTTTTCCAACTGAGGTTGAACGCACTGGCACTCTACCCATCTCTCTGTCCATCCATAAATAGCGAGGGGGCATTATTGCTTTCGTAAAGATGATCCAACAAGAACGAACCGGTGGCTATTATGGACTTGCCCTTTTGAAAACCGGCCAAATTGATCTCAATGGGTTGCCTGAAACTTGGCAGACAAAAACCAGGGCAAAATATGGACAATTTTCAGATATGTAAATCAATTTTGCCCTGATGGCATAATCCCGAGTTACACGTAAAAAAAAACATTTTTACGAACACGGTATACAAGATTGTGCTGTCAACCTAAAAACTGAAATACCTGCCGCAATTAACAAAGGAATGACAGCAAATCTTCTGAAAATGTGGCATCCCTACTACCTTGTGAACACAAACAAGCGGAATGAGTATTTTCAGCCTGGTGCATGGTGCAGTCCCCTGGAAATGTGCAATGTCGGGCCAAGGTTGGCATGTGGTTGCAAACCGTTGGACCAACATTGGACCAACATTGGCCCAACGTTCCATGTTTACCAGGGGTGTGTTCGATGCGTTTCCCCCCCCCCCCCCCCCCACCTTTCCATGGTAAGGCAGCCCGGGCTTGAACTGCTTGCGCGTCTCACGCGAATACTTTATGTCCACCAGCTGCTTGTGCACCAGCGTAGAGTCATCGAACGTGATCTGCTTACTGCCGTCGCTGGCCACCACCGTGGCCCAGACGCTCAGGGCTCCTCGGAAATGCTCGGGCACGTTCGGAGGCATCAGGTCCTTGACGCAGATGTCAAAGGACGCCGCTCCATCGACCTGGGAGGCAAACGACAATGGCGGTGGAGCTCGCGGCTAGCGTCATTCAGTCCGCCGCGTGACGTGCAGCACGATTTGAACGTGGTGGATTGCCACGTTGTTTGAGAGGCGAAGCCAATGAGACTGTGAACTCGTGAAGAGCTTGCCTCGAAGGTTTTGAGGACGGGCATGCCGAGGTCCTGTCTGTAGTAGCCGACTCCATTCACGGTCATGTTCACGGTGGCTTTCCCTCGCACTGGCTTCCCAAATGTGTACCTGATAAAGGAACATAATTCACAAGCTGCATTTACTCCTTGCCATCTTCTTCTGTGATATAACAAAACAAAAAACGTTGACAATGCGTGTGTTACTACGTTCGTGCCGGACGTTAAAAGCAAACCTGGCCCGGACTCTTGCTTTATCGCAGACGTTTAGGTTTCTGATGAAGCTGGGAGTGCTGATATCAACTTCAAACTTTGGCAGCACTGGGGGAAAAACATGAAAGAGAAAGGTTTTGTCTGCACTTTGAACTCACACCATTAAAATGCCCTTCATAGTTTTGAAAATTGTATTGATTCACCACCCCTTCCCTTTCCTCCTGGGAATTCAATGAATCGCTACAAATCAGGCCGACAATTCGATTTGAGAATTTATATTTTTTTACGTTCACGTGAATGGTAGTGCCTCTATAGTGCCTGTAGAGGTGACGTGAGCCCATTACACACAACGAACACAAATCCAATCATGTAAAATATTCATGCACGCTGTGAGTGCATGTATCACGAGCTTAATAACCATTCCACCCATCGTGTGCATAGATAGGGAAAATATAAAAAAAATCCCCAAAAAGTGCACAGTTTTGGAAAAGAGTATTGTCTTGGAAAAACTTGATAACCCACTTAATAGCACTGGTCACAAAGTATGTGATTTATTGAGAGTGGGTAGATTAAGTCGTTGAAAAAATATGAATGATTACGTTCACTGTGCAGCTATCTGCGAGGAGATGACACAATAAAACTATCAAAAGCGGATTGTAAAGTGTCACTTTTAAGCTTGTATGGGTTATCTTAAAACACATATATACGGGTTATTTTTTTTACAGGACACCTTTGAAATGTACAGGAGGATTATTTTTGCAGAGACACAAGCTCAACTTTTTTGTTATGCCAGATTGATTGTGGGGAGGTGGGGGGGGGGGCTTTTGGAAGAGGGGGGGGGAGGGAACAAACGCATGACAACAGCCATCAACACAGCATGGCTCCTTCCTGCCGAGAGACGCTAAACCTTGGCATTAATGTGTTTTTTCCTTTTAAGGGCATCAGCCACCGCTTCCTGCAATGACCCCTAAGGGACGGAGGCTGCCATCCTGCCACGTGCCTGCTCAAAACAACAACTTCCTTCACAAAACATCCTGTCATCACCGAGGGGGAATGAGAACAATGGGCATTCTGTCTGCGAGCAAAAAAAAAGACATGGGTTACTGTTTTAGAGATATATATATGTATATTTTTATTCTTTTTTTATATTCTTCACCTGACGTTATTTTATCTGAATATGCCGGTTACTTTGACCAAATCCAACAGGGAGACAAAATATGTCCCACCACAGTTCCGACAGCTTGTCATATGCATTTAAACATCTGGGCGTGGGTGAAGGGAAATACGACAAAATTGGGTTTGGCGTGCGATTTATCATAATAAATCCTGAGCGCTCATCCGTGTCGCCCTGTCTGACTTAATCGGAGGCTGAACGGTGGTGACTTAAACAAGTGACAAATCCCAAAGCTAATTAATTTCCGAAAAGTTTAATTGATTGATTGGTTGATTTATTTTACACCTCAAGAAATACTTTATCCCTGTTAATAGGTGCTGTTGCAACTTAAAAATGACCAAAGGCTCTACGGGACACCACTTGTGGCTTGAGTTGTTAGCATATTCAAGATTTTCGAACTGCGTAGAATGCTTGGTAATTATTTCTGTTCTTTCTAAATTTCCTTTCTTTAGTTGTATGTGGCCAGACATTAACTTTAGTGCAGTAGTACATTGCTGTTTACACATAAAGTTTACGATCATCCAGTCCTGTGCTGGCATGCTAAAGCAAAGGTTGAGAAACCCACCGTATTTTTGCACTTCAAAGGACTTGTTGTAGGTGTGGGAATGGAGCTCCACAAAGATCATCCACTCTCCAAAGATTGGTTGCTCAGAGATTGGGAAGCTCACATTCATGATTCCTAAAATAAGTGCATGGACGCATACACACAAACACATGGTAATATACATTTCAGGAGACAGCTTGACCACTTCCCCTGTGCTTATGAGTTTATTTAACCAGGGCTATAACGATGGCTTAATATTTCACTCGATATTTTTCAGAACGCTACTAGGCTAACACAGAGTAGGGATTAGTGAGGTACGCCTATCTATACTTATATTATTGTGTGCTATATTCCTGCAATTACCTGAACAGGTTTTGGACAAGATAAGGTGAGATGGATGTCTCATGCCAAAATAATTCCCAGAACAATGTTCCAAAATGTTTTTGGCTGTTTTGGCTGAAATTAATCATTCGCTATTACTGACTCATAATCAGTTTCTCTTGGGTTAGATCGTGTAGGTATCATGTCAATATAATGTACGAAAAATTTCGACAAGAGAATCCTAAATAAAATATGCTAAAGATTACAATACATCTTCAACACACAAATATGAAAAAAACCCCATCCATATCGCAAGGACGGAGGCTAAGGAAAATGTAGTAAACACAATTGTTGAATCCGTTTTTACCACAACAGATGGGATGTAGGTCACTCCACTGGACCATGCGTGATCCTCTTGGGTCCTGAATGTGAAGACAAGGCAAGTCGGCACTCATGCCAGTTCAGTAATTGGAAACAACTTAAACACGTGCATGGCTTTAACTCGCGTTTCAGAGCTACCAAAGCCCATTTACCCAACATACACAGTTGTTAACGTGATATGCCACATGTACAATGTGGATGAATCGTGGATTTATCGCAGTAGAGCAGGAGTCTGTGAAGGTATTTTTAAATACTTGTGTGTTCTATCTACTGGCTATATTCCTCGCCATGTGTTCATCAAAACAGTAACTGTTTCAGTAACTCTTAATTGTTTGCAGATGAATCAAATCAAATTGTATGAAGTTGTGAACTTACCACAATGTATGCTTCCACCTGGAAATTAGAGATGGACAATTAAAGATCACGTGAACTGGGCAACTGAAGCGATAACCAAACCTGTGTTCAGGAAGCAAATGAAATGCAACTTTCTGTTTTATTTCGCTGGAAAATTCTGGACGGAAATCATTTGGCAACTTGTGCAATGTGTAGAATCAACAATGCACTTTGTCATCAGTAAAAGCTAAATTTTAAATCTGGCAATGAAGTTGCATTCACATTACACTTTTGTTAATATGTGTAGGCAAAATAATGCATTTATTCTTCCTCACCTTTTCATTGATTGGCCTCAGTTCTGGACTTATGATAATGAAGTTGGCAAGAACTGTAAAATAAATCCCCACAAAAAATACAAGTAAACCCTGTTATGATCATTTATAAATAGTTAAAATGTAAACATTTTCCCACGTGTTACATTGCAATAATTCTGTTTTGATTTTGTGACAAAAATCATAAAAAAATCAACCAATGTGCCAATGCCGTTAAGTTGCTTTTTCGATTGCATATGTGCTGTGCGACAACACTTTACAGCTCCCACATCTCATGTAATAACATCCATCACAATTATTTGCTTTCTTTTCTAATCATATATTTTCATTTCAACATGCACACGGAAACGTGACAGTTACAAAACAATGCGGCATATCCGACTCGTCAGGGACTGAGCGATATTCTGGACATCTGTGAAAAAGAGCATCATAGCTCATCAGATTCCTCCAGTATAAGTAAAGACTGAATCTGATATACGTGGGTATGTGAAATGGTCAGATGTAGGAACATCTACAGAAAATTAGTTACACCCTTCACAAATACTGCCCTACGTGTGGAGGTTAATTGGTCATGGTGGATGAACAACGGTCGGATATGCGATGTTGTACCGTGCGGAAATCATAATTCGTGGAATGAAACAAGCCGTACTATTGTGGTTCAAATAAAATTTGTCTTGCCTCTCTGTTTGGGCTTGTAGACCGGTTTGTCAGTCTGGATCAGCACTGTGGAACCTTTCTGCTCCACGGTGATGGTGGTGGAGTTTTGGAATGAGAAGGCATCACTCTTGGAGGTGGAATTATGGCTTCCCCACACTCTCAAGTGAGCTTGACCCCTCAATCCGCGCGGCACCTTGGTGAGTACGTGGGCACAACAGGCAAATACAAGCTTGTGAAGATTGCTTGACAGATCCCAAACATGTGTCTTTTATTATTTGTTTGAAGGAGGGAGGTTGGTTCATATTTTTATATTTACTTCTTCTGTCAAGGCGACATTCTGGCATTACTTGAAATGCGCAAAAATATTAACATTTGAGAACAAAAAAAGCGTTTCGCAAATTAGTACTAAAAAAAACTTACTTTCAGTTTTATTACACCCTTTTCTGCAAACGACAAAAGAAACAGTTAAAATCGACGTGTTCACAGCATCAAAAACACACCGTGCTTGCGCGTATATATTATTTTTGCCGGGGGGGGGGGTTAAAATGAGCAGTATTCATAAAGACACGGGCTTCGTTACGAGCCTCCTCATTCGCCCGTCGCTTACCAAACACATCGCCACGACTGTGCGCCACCGTCTCCCCGTGGACCGCCAGGCACGCCTGGACGGCGGTCTCTGCCGCGGGGTTAAAAAAAGTGACGCTGATGGCCTCCTCCACCCCGGCTCTGAACACCGAGGGAGCTGCCACCAGATAGCCGCTAAACGCCAAAATAAAACAACAAAAAAACAAAGACAACAAGCAGGGCCAAATGTTACCGACTTGTCAACGAAGCAGGGGCAGCAGCAAAAATGCTTTCTGTACACGTGATGTATGAGAAGGGGCAAATTTTCACTTAACCACTTGTTTTATTATCGCTTGCATCACCATCGACCACAATATCCAACGTGGATCTTGTGAGAGAGAGAGAAACCCATCAATTTACATGTGAAGCTAGGCAATTAATGAAAACGCATATCTATCTATGTATTATTTATTTTATTAACTTCTCAAACAATGCAATTCTTGAGCAATCAGAACCTCTCACTTATACAGTATCTCAAAACTACAATTCTTTAGCAACCATTGCCCCCACATTCCCCTGAACAACATGTACATTCACTTATTCATTCCAAGCTGTATATAGCAATCCTTGTTTCTTGATGGTTACAGCGTACCGTTAAGTGACGTACTGTACCAATTCAATTTGTGATAGACCACATGCCATGAATAATTGAATGAATAAATTCCACTTACCGTGGCAAGGGCCCTTCACAGTGACACAGGGCGAGGGCAGAGAGCAGCAACCAGAGATGTCCATCTCCTCGAAAGTCCATGATGACAATGACGACGGCGATTGAACGTGCAAACCGGCTTGTACAAAAAAAAAGAACAACTCTCAATCCAAACCAGTCGAGTCCGCCCTAGTCCCCTCTTGCTGGAGTCGCTAGTCCGGCACAAGTGGGCTTTTTCACAGTCATGCCCAGGGATTTTTCACTTCAAAGGACAGGCGGAGGCCGTAAGGATTTATCGCCCAGAGCCGGAGAAAAAGATGTTTGCTCCTTCCACGACCCAGACACAGCCCGGCTTTTGTGCTCTGAGCTGTGGTCCCGGCGCAATCTCTTAAGCATTCATTCATTCGCTGACTCGTTCATTCATTAATCGAGCCCCGTTTCTTTTAAAGCCCAACACATTGCTGGGGACGAAACTGGATACCCTCTGAGCTTCTCTTCATTAGCGAGCCGGCACCCGGCGTTTGTATTAATTTATATATTTTCTTATTACTATTCTTTGTGTTGCCCCCCATCCCCCCACCCACCCCCCTACTCACAAACAGTTAAAATGTTAATCGTCCTCCTCTGGATGCTGCACGGACTCACTGGGGTTTGGAACGCGCCTGCCGCTCGCACGGCGCTGAGCACATTTAGTGTTTGCAGATGGGCTGAGGTTGCATGAAGAAGGGATGGCTTAAAGCTGCCCCTCCCGGCTCTCACTCAACAACCACAACCTCCTACCGTCACAAACCCCCCCCCAACCATCTTCACATTATAAATCACCTCCTTAATTCACTTTGGCAGGGCGTCCTGTGGACCCCATGCAACTGCTTTTCCGAGCTCTGAAGCATTTGTGTAGTTTGTCTTTTGTGTGTGTGCGCTTGTCATTTGGTGCATGCACGTGCGTGTGTGCCATTGTCTTCGTTGTGTCATTCTGCGCAAATAATTGCGTATATGTGACACCGCGTGCTTATTTGTGCGTCATTTTCTTTTGTGTCACTTTGTTTCGTTGTGTGTGCGTGTACAAACAAAATGTAACAGAGCGAATGCATTACAGGTTACTTGATGAATCGGCCACACATTCTTCACAATAAAAACTTGTTGAATTTGATAAACTTTGTCTGATTGAGAAAGGGGCCGACATGCAATATATTCGGTAGTTCTACACTAGTTGGAGCAAAATAATGAAGTTGTAATTATGGACTATGTTGTATGTACAATACGCTGTACGAATTATATCTCCTCTTTACATAGATACGCCAACGTTCTGCCGTAACATTTCTTTAGCGCCTCCACATCTTGTCTCGTAATTATTGTTGCCAAATTAAGGATGGTGATGTGTGCAATTTAGGCGGAAAGATCACTCTGGTACATATGCATTCATAACCATATGCTTTTCAACATATATTTCATGATAACTCATGATAATAAATTCCGCACGTTCATTTTCCATGCCATTGGCTTCATGTAGCCTACATCACTGTATTTGATGTGACTCAAACTGAAATTAGATGGTGTCTTCAATGTGCGTTAAACAGTGTTATTGTTTACTTGCTAATGTAATAATTTACAGTACTTTTGTCAAGTAAATATTTCTGAGTGAAGGCCTCTCCATGCCTTTTGGTCATGGGGGTTGTTTGACCATACTTCACCATGCTGGTTAGTGTGGTTTTGTGAATGGGAATGTTCGCTGTGGCCAAGAATCAAACTCGGGTGGCGCATTGTGTTCATGGTGCAGTGTGCAAACGACTGGTGCCACAGCTGCTCCGCCACATGTTTTGATACATGGCTCTTTTGCTGGGTCATTCCACCAATCTGAGTTGCACCTATCCATTCAGTCCATACGCTTCATTGCCCGTGCAATGTTTTGTTGTTCACTCATGTGTGTATTTAAGCCATATGAGAGCTCACTGGGGATATAACACTTTTTTTTCTTCAGGAGAGGCCTGTAAAACAGCTGTGAGAGACGGAGGCAGTGATAGAGAGATTGCACCGCAGAGTGCAACAATATGTACCGTATTGCAATAATTGAAATACTGTCATTGGTAATACAGCTATTGTGGATTGGACAGTGAAAAAATACTAATAACGTATAAAAACAAACGATGTATTTGTATATCTTAACGGAGGCTCTGTTTGTATAACTTGTGCTGTTGTGTATATTACATTTCGGCAGTGACCAATTCATGAGGTGACGTTGAGAATACATCTCTCAAAAAACCAAGCTGAGACTGGACTCTGTTCTAATGTTCATCGGTGGCTTTGGTGTCTGTGTTCATAGGCTCCCTTTAGCGGAAGTTTTGGCTTTTCAGAGATTATCCAATTTCGCCACAACCCTACCCTTACACTGATATTGAGGTAGTATTTCGATTTAAAGCTTTCGTGACTGCAGGGATTCATCTTCTTGGTTTTATTATCGTTTGTTTTTATACGTAAAGTCACGTAGAAGGGAAATAATAAAAATAAAGCATAATAAAATAAAATTCTCACGACGTTTCGGCCACAACACAAGTAGCCGTCCTCAGGTGAAGAAACAGAACTGTCGGAAAGACAGCGCTCCAATCTTTCCAACCACTTATTTGTTTATGGTTGTACAACATTTTTCAGCACTAAATATTTTATTTGCATCTCAGGTCAATCTTGAAAGTAAGATCTGTGAGTCCCTTTGGGTTGTAGGTCCTCATATGTATGCATTTTATTCACAGTGGTTTGTCAATCCACTGCTGGATGAAGGCCACCAAGCCATAGTCCACCACGCTGATCAGTGTGGGTTGGTGAACGGGGTAGCACCAGGACTGGTTTATGGCTGGGAAACGAAGTCGAACTCAGGTTGTGAAGTTAGTAGCGCAGTGCGCTAGCCATTGCACCACCACTCCATCCTAAGAAGATGAACAAGGGAATCCCCGTGTGACCTACACAGGCTGTTAGGGCAAGTGCTCTTAGTGAGCACTTATTAAGGCGGGAACATCAGCACGCAGAAGGGGTGATGTGGCTCGCATCATCTCTCGGCCAATTTTGTCTCCCCAAAGTGTATCTGCTGGTGCAGTGTTAACACACTGCACCAGCAGATACACATTTAAGGCTGAGTCGCCCTAGAGGAGGTCCAGGGCCGGTTTAGATTCAGATATCACTCACAACTGATATTGACCATGGTTAGTCGGGTCATAACGTTCCAACAACAATACAAAACACGATCGGAGTGTAAAGGTAAACGAATCACTTGAAAAAATATAACTAATAGTTACTATTTTTTCTTACCAGGTAAAGCTCACTGGGCTATTAACTTATTTTTCAGACGCGACATGGCCACAAAAATAGCTTTTATAGCTCATCGGATTCCTCCAATATGAATAAATATTCCGATTCTGCACGTACATCAAACTTCTTTCGCACCGTACGGTAGCCAACCGTGCCGATAAACAAAAGCACAATTCATGGAGAAAACAAAAATAAAAAGATTCCCCCCTGTAGCCTTAACAGACTGTTGGGGCAAGTGCTGTTAGCGAGCACCTTATGAAGGCCGGCACGGCGCTGTGGCACACGCATGGAGGTGGATGGCCAGCACCACGCCCGACCGCCTTTGTCTCCCCAGTGGGGACGTTTACTGCACACCGCACCGGGGAACTAATTTTGAGGCTGAGTCGACCTAGGAGGGGGGGGGGCCCAGGTAACCCGTTCGGATATAATCGTCACTTGGCGTTGGTGGTCGTGAGCGGGAATCTAACTCGGGTCGCCGGGTTCGTAGCGATAACCTCCTACACTACCGCACCAAAGACTAAGATCCCCCGTATGGCCTTAACAGACTGTAGGGGTGCTACTCACTCACACGGTGGGGGGGGGGGGGGGGCAATGGGCAACCCAGGTCACCCCGTCGTCGTCGTCTGCTGATAAACGAGGCAGCAGACAGCCTGTCCGCGTGTGGCAGGCGCCGTTCGGGTGACGCGGTGGCGGGGGAGGGGCCGGGTCGCCCTGTAAAGGCCCCCCCCCAACACCACACCAACACCACCACCACCCACCAACACCACCACCCCCCCACACCACCCCCCACACCACCACAACCACCACCCCACACCACCACCCCCCCCACACCACCCCCCACACCACCACCACCACCCCCCACACTACTCCCCCCCCAACACCACCACCACCCCCCCACACCACCACTACCCCCCACATCACCACCAACACCACCCCCCCCCAACCTTCCAACGCTGATTTATTGATGTTGATGGGGGCTCCGAGTCAATTCCACGCACAAAGGCGTAATGAGCGCGACACGTGCATCGCAGGAATGCAGCACGTGTCAACGCACACTGAGGGGTACACACACACACTGAGGGGTACACACACAGAGGGGTACACACACACACTGAGGGGTACACACACACACACTGAGGGGTACACACACACTGAGGGGTACACACACACACTGAGGGGTACACACACACTGAGGGGTACACACACACACTGAGGGGTACACACACACACTGAGGGGTACACACACACTGAGGGGTACACACACACACTAAGGGGTACACACACACACACACACTGAGGGGTACACACACACACTGAGGGGTACACACACACACTGAGGGGTACACACACACTGAGGGGTACACACACACACACACTGAGGGGTACACACACACACACACTGAGGGGTACACACACACACTGAGGGGTACACACACACACTGAGGGGTACACACACACACTGAGGGGCACACACACACACTGAGGGGTACACACACACTGAGGGGTACACACACACACTGAGGGGTACACACACACACTGAGGGGTACACACACACACACTGAGGGGTACACACACACACTGAGGGGTACACACACACACTGAGTGGTACACACACACACACTGAGGGGTACACACACACACTGAGGGGTACACACACACTGAAGGGTACACACACACTGAGGGGTACACACACACACACTGAGGGGCACACACACACTGAGGGGTACACACACACACACTAAGGGGTACACACACACTGAGGGGTACACACACACACTGAGGGGTACACACACACACTGAGGGGTACACACACACACACTGAGGGGTACACACACACACTGAGGGGTACACACACACACACTGAGGGGTACACACACACACTGAGGGGTACACACACACATTGAGGGGTACACACACACACTGAGGGGTACACACACACACTGAGGGGTACACACACAAACTGAGTGGTACACACACACACACTGAGGGGTACACACACACACACTGAGGGGTACACACACACACACTGAGGGGCACACACACTGAGGGGTACACACACACACTGAGGGGTACACACACACACTGAGGGGTACACACACACACTGAGGGGCACACACACACACTGAGGAGCACACACACACTGAGGGGTACACACACACACTGAGGGGTACACACACACACTGAGGGGTACACACACACACTGAGGGGTACACACACACACTGAGGGGTACACACACACTGAGGGGTACACACACACACTGAGGGGTACACACACACACACACTGAGGGGTACACACACACACTGAGGGGCACACACACACACACTGAGGAGCACACACACACTGAGGGGTACACACACACACTGAGTGGTACACACACACTGAGGGGTACACACACACACTGAGGGGTACACACACACACACTG